AGTTGCCTAATATTACAATTCTAATGTTCGTGTGCAGAAACTACATGTGTGTCCCTAAAGTCGATGTCTGTGTGTGTGAGTCCATATGTGTTTGTGTGCGTGTAAGTCGATGGGTTTCTACGTGTGTGGGTCCATGTCTGTGTGTAAGTCCATGTGTGTGTCTGTCTTTTTCAAACAGACAACGCCCCATGTGTGTGTGTACGTACAAGTGTGTGTGTATCAGTCCATTTGTGTGCGTATCAGTCGCTGTGTGTGTGTTAGTCCACATGTGTGTGTCAGTCCATACATGTGTGTGTGTCACTCGATGTGTGTGTGTGTAAGTCAATGCGTGTGTGTGAGTTTATGTGCCTGTTAATCCATATGTATCTAAAGTACATGTCTGTGTGTCACAGTCCATATGTGTATGTGTGTGTAGGGCAATGTGTGGGTCAGTCTATGTATGTGTGTGTGTAAGTCCATGTGTGTGTGTCTTAGTTGATGTGTGTGTGTAAGTACATGTGTGTTTACGTCAATGTGTGTGAATCCACGTATGTCTGTGTGTGAGTCGATGTATGTGTGAGTCGCTGTATGTGTGTACGTCGATATGTGTGTGTAACTCCATGTGTGTGTATCTCAAGTGGATGTCTATGTGTGTGTGAGTCCATATGTGTGTGTGAGTCGATGTGTTTGTGTGCGAGTCGATATGTGTGTGTGTGTCTCAGTCCATGTGCATATGTGTTAGTCGCTGTGTGTACATGCCTCCATGTTAGTCAGTGTAAGTCCATTTTTTCGCGTGTCTGTAGGTCCATGTGTGCGTCTTAGTCCATCTGTGTGCTTTATAGACCTGCTCAAGGCCTACAACACCATCAGTAGGCCTGGGCTCTGGGTTGTTCTTCGTGCTTTCGGAGATCCCTCCCCCTTTGCTCACGATCCTTAAGGACCTTCCTGCTGGTGAGCGGCCCCACGTCAAACTATGTGACCGTCAGTCAGAGCCATCCCCTCTACACCTTGGGGTGTGACAGGGATGTCCTCTGGCTCCCACATTATTTAACATATCTTTTGACCACGTAGTTAGTGAAGCCTTCGATGGCTGTACCAGAGGAATTACCATATGGTACAGATACAATGGGAGGCTGATCGATGCCCGGGTGCGGTCAAGGGATGGCTCTCTATTGCTCAACCATGTTATGTATGCTGATGCTTTGGTGATTGCTGCTCACTGCTGCTGAACTTGGAGCTTGCCACTAAGAGATGAGGCCTTACCATCAGCACCACCAAAACTAAACACCTGCCTGGGTATTTTGTACCATCGAACAATCCACCCCCACAACTCACAATTGGTGATGCGGCAGTTGTGGACAGATTGCCAAGATTCCCATACCAGGCCAGTGTGATCATGACCGGCTCCGGGTTAACAGCAGAGGTCTCACTCCAAATCAGTTGAGCGCCATTATCTTTTCATCGGCTGCGTTACGCTGTGTGGAAGCTACCTGGTCTCTCGCTCCGCATGAAGCACCAGGTCTTCTCGGCCACGGTAATTCCCTCCCTTCTCTACGCTTGCGAAACGTGCACCCCCCTAATGGAACATCTTCGCCGGTTAGAAACATTTAGGATGGCCTGCCTACGATCCATCCTGGGTTTAACCAGGCTGCATTGTGTGAGGAGCTCACAAATCCTTGAAAGATGTGGACAAAGTCCCATCGGTGACCTCCTCCGCCAGGTAAGGCTGCGTTGCCTGAGTCATGTAGCCCACATGGCCAGACACCGCATGCCTAAACATCTTTTGTTCGGCCAGACCGAGGGGGCTAAACTTCCCGGCACGGGCTAGAGAAGACATGGAGTGATGTGGTACAGGAGGACGTGGAGCTGAGTCAACTTGCCGATGACTGGTACCAGCCGTGTCAAGATTGGCCTCTGTGGAGGAGCCTCCTGAAGGACGCTACTGGGCAGTTGGAGGCAGTCGCCCTCCAACAACAACAGAGGGCGGAGGAGCGACGCTCACAACAATGAGCGGAGTGCCGAGTGGCTAAAGCACAGCAAGTTGCTGCAGTAGGGGCACAGGTGGTGCATCAGCCAGTCGTCTCAGTCAGTTGACCTGTGCCATCTGGGTCTGCCCCGTGACCTCCTCCCAGCGGGCGTTCGACACTTTACGTGGCCTCAAGGTGCACATAGCCTGGCACAAGCGTTGTGGTGACGTCACCGCCACTTACTGGCGAATGGCGGTTGTTGTTCAGTCTATGTATGAATGTGCGAGTCCATTTGTGCGTGTAACTATATGTGTGTGTATCAATGGATTTGCGTGTGTAACTACATGTCTGCCTTTTTCGCCCGGGCAACGCCGGGTACTCACCGCTAGTGACATTATATCTGTCTGAACCACTGGGCGGGTTCTGCAGGATTGCAAGGTTACCCTGGTGGTCCTCCCTAATTAAGAAGGGGGGCCATACAGACTGTAACAACCACAGGAGCATATTCCTCCTCAGTGTGCCGGAAAAGGTCCTGGCAATGATTATTCAACATCGCCTTGCTAGGCACGCTGAGGAGGGACTTGCAAAGCCCCAATGTGGTTTCAGACCAGGGCGGTTCTGCTCCATATTTTCTGTCCGTCTGCTACAGCAGCGGTGTAGGGAATTACAACAGGACCTACATCTCTGCTTTATTGACCTGGACAAGGCCTATAATACCATCAATAGGCATGGGCTCTGGTTTGTTCTTCGTGCTTTTAGCGTCCCTGACTGTATGCTCACAAATATTAAGGACATTCATGATAGTGGGCAGGCCCGGGTAAAGCTAAGTGGCCGGGAGTCAAGGCCATTCCCTGTTCATCTTGTGGTGCGACAGGGATGTCCTCTGGCTCCACGTAGTTCGAGAAGCCTTCATCTGGTACAGATACAATGGAAGGTTGATCGATGCTCAGGTGCGGTCGATGGATGGCTCTTTATTGATCTTGTGATTGCTACTCACTCAGAGGAGTTGAAAGCAGTGATGGTGGCAGTGGTGATGATGGTGTTGGTAACGATGGTAGTGATAGTGGAGGTGGTGATGGTGGTAGTAATTGTGGTGCTGGTGGTGATGGCCGTGAGTGGGAATCAAATTCGGGTCGTCGGGTTCGTAACACAGTCCGCTAAGAGCTGCGCCACTGCTGCCACGCTAAATCTCAACCGCGTGCCCCCTGCACAAACTCTACCCCTGTATAACGTGGGCCCCCTTTACTAACAACCCATTTGAGTTATCTAGGTTTGTTCATGCTCTACGTACTACTTGTCCAAGTGCAATGCCCATGGAGCTCACAGACTTAAATACCTCTGGCCAGTTGCATCCAACTACTTAAATAATTCAACATATGCAACCACCCTTCCCCATGTTGGTCAGTGCAGGTTGATGAAACTCACCTAATGCCCATTATTACCTCTAGTTGTATTTGCCAATGCATGCATCCTCTTCAGCAGTTAAATCTTCACGAGGGCCTGTGTAGTGTTAATTTTTAATACGTATTTGTTAGATGAAACTTTACAATTTTGTTCATTATTCATTGGTTAAATAAAGCTATGACAAAAAAGCACGATAACGATTCTAAATTAGGCTGTTCTAACGTTTGAATAGACGATACTGGAGGTGGTCTATCGTTTATAATTGTATAGTGAGTCCAACTGAGTCGCAGACGTTGTCTTGGGAGCAATACTATTTATTCAATAACTCGACATAACATAACCCAACCTACACTTGGGTGTTGAATGCTCATCTAGCCACGCTCCATCAGAACTAGACACGGTTCGCTATCCCGGCCCGGACCACAAGCTGGGTCCCGGACCACGTGGCTAGAGGTTTCTTTTACCCGACATGGATCTTCATCACCAGCACCACGAAGAACCCCGAGCCCCTCACGGGGCCCCCATTATATCAGCCTGGGCTGGGGCTGGCTCCACCCCTCACCCCGCCCAACATCTAGATCTCTCGAGCTCTTCCCCTAAGGCTCCCAAGAGCTCCTTTATTCCACGTGACTGCCCAACGGCCACCGTCCACCGGTGCCCCCCCTCCAATATTATCCGGTCACGTGTCGGCAGGTCAACCAGCGCATCATGCTCCAACGTAACCCTGGCTGGCTGACGCTCCCTCGCTCCCTCACCGGTAGCCCGCACCGCACACTGTACGTGGTGCCTCCGCGCTCACCAGCGCTCACCCAAGCACCGCTAGGGCTGGTACTACGCCCAGTGAGCGGGTTACACATAATGCCAACACATTATCCGCCGTGGTTTTGTAAGCCCGGCACCACATAGTGACAATCACAGTCACTACAATTGTGATAATGCAACGTGTTACAATAATTATTCTCTGCAGTCTCTATGGGCGAACTCTGTCTTTGTCTCGTTTATGGTCTCAAATGTTCCACTATCGAGCCTGGCTTATGCACATTTGCTGGCATCTAATACGTTTGTAATTTAATGGCTTCTGGTAATTATGAACATTGTACAACTAACCTGCTTCCGTTCCTCCCTGTCAACCAATATCTTCTCCCGAGCCCATCCTGCTACTGCCACTCCCTCCACCCAGCTACGACCCCAACCCCTATCATAACTCCAACCCTATCACTGCCCGTATCACATCTCTAACCCCTATCACTACCCATATCACTACACCTAGTACTATCCCAACCCCTATCACTACCCTTATCACTGTCCCAACCCCTATCATTACCACAAGCCCTATCACTACCCCAACCCCTAACATTACCCCAAACCCTATCACTACCTCACTACGTTTATCTCAACCCCTCCTTAATGACTCCCACCACCACTTTTAATAACCCCACTCTTTATTTTAACCACTATCATCTTATGTACAATTTAAAATTCTGTAAAGCACCAGGGACTAAGGCGATATATATTAATCCATATAAGATAAGGAATATATGGGCATATCCATACAACACCTTTAGAGTACACGTAAAATCTAGTATTATATTATGTTAGGAAAACTTAATATGGATCACTATGCTCTCAAATCCTCTCGTTGTTTTCCAGATGGAACAATTCAGCTGGTGGATAGAGACGTGATGTGCCAGGGAAAGGTGGAAATCTACAACAACGGTTCTGTGAGCACTCTCTGCAGAGACAATTGGAATGAGTACCAACGTGAGATTGTGTGCCAGCAGTTGAATTGTGGCAGCAGTGCACAGCGTTACGACTACTGGAACGAGCAATATTACTTTGGCATTGGCCGGGGGACTTCACAGCATGTTCAGTGTGGAGGCACAGAGCAAGCGCTCACCGATTGCACGCTGTCTCCGGAAAACTCCTTCACGTGTACCAACAAGGGGACGGCCGGCGTTGTGTGTACCGGTACGAGCACTCATTCCTCATATAGGGGCGCCGCAGTGACGAGCTGTTATCTCGCTTGCCTGGTATGCAGGAGGTCGTGGGTTCGATCCAGACCCTGACGATGCCTGTTATATATTTGGAGCCCGCATGTTCTCTCCCTCTCTCTAAACCCGTGGGGGTCACGTGGATTATTCTCAGGTCCTGCAGTTTTTCCCTCCACATTTAGATTACTTGGTTGCTTTTATACATTTTCACACGATAAGCCACTTCGTTGAGCTATAATTTGTGGCCACGTCGATTATGAAACAGAGCTAATAGCTCAGTGGGGTTTACCTGGTAATAAAAAAATTTGATTTAGTGTTTAAGTTTCATTCAACAAAGACAAAGACCCCCCCATATAGCCTTAACATAATGTTAAGGCTATACTGTTAGCAAGCACCTATCAAAATTTGAATCTTAATTTAGACTGGAGGAGGAGAAATCCGATGAGCTACACAGCTCTTTGTCACAGATATCCTGTACGGGCGGGTGAGCAAGTTACATCAATAACAATACAAAATAAACCGATAGAAGTGCAAATTAGAGAAAAGTCAAGCGAGTCAAAAAAAATGAATAAATAAAAATAGAGTACAGAAGTACATAAATTCTTGATAATGTCAACATTAAATGTGCAATGAGAGCGCTATCTCCTGTATTATGTGGGGTGTGGTGTGATATGCAGTTATGGATTGTCTAGTGGAAGGAGTACATCTAGGCCAAAGGTAAAAGGGCGGAGCAACCCGGGAAGCCCTAGAATGCTCTCGAAGGTTCTATGAGGGGCGTGGCCAGAGGTGGGGTTTAGTCGCCGGGGAGCGTATATAAGCAGGGGCCAGAGCAAAGTGCGAGGTCGGTGTGTGAAGAATCAAGAAGAGCTCCCCGTTGCTGCTGGCCCGCTATCTCCATCGGCCACGTGGTGGCTCGACCTTCAGCCACTCAACCGCTCCCTAGCGCGCCATCAGCCAGCGGCGTGCTAGAGAGTGGGTGAGCACCACGTAGCGTGGGGCAGCAAAGCCACTTGGGCGGCATGTATCCATAGTGCGAGTGTGAAGAGACAGGAGACAACCAACTGTACCAAAGATTTATTAAAGAAACGTTTCAGCTTTTTATCGTATCGGAGCCACTCATTACAAATGCAAACGTGGGCAAGGCAGCAAAACAACAACAGTCCAAGACCACACCAAGACAACACATCGTCGCTCAATTACATTGTACATTGCAATTGAACTATCGATACAACTTATGAAGGCCTACGGCATACGAGGGGGTGGGTGGCCAGCACCACGCCCGGGAGCCTTTGTCTCCCCAGTGGCGATGTTTTCATACAGCACCAGGTACTAATTTGAGACTAAGTCGATATAGAGGAGCCCCAGGACCGGTTCAGACAATCGTCACTGCTGTTTAATAGAACCTGGTTCACCACTCTCTCAATTCCTCATGCAACGACAACGTTCGCCACGAAGTGACAGTGACGTCACAATAGGGCTTATGTAAACCCAAGTGGTCTTTGAGGCCACTTGAAGTGTCGAAGGCTCGCTGGCAGAAGATAACGAGAAAGACCGAGGTGCCATGGGTTAACTGACTTGCATGACTGGCAGATGCACTACATGTGCGCCCTACTGTGCAAATTTGCTGTGTTTTAGCTGCCTAGCGCTCCGCTCATTGTTGTGAGCGTCGCTCCTCTGCCCTCTGCTGTTCTTGGAGGGCAGCTGCCTCCAACTGCCGAGTAGCTGCTTTCCCCAGCCTCCTCCACATATGCCTATCTTGACACCGCTGGAACCAGTCCACTCAGCTCAATATCCTCATGTACGGCATCAGTCCATCTCTTATGAAGCCGGTGCCGTGCCCATTTAGCTCCCTCTATATGGCCAAACAAAAGCAGTTCGGGCATGCGGTGGTTGGGCATGCGGGCTAGATCTACCCAACGAAGCCTTGCCTGCCAGAACTCACCGATGGTACATTGTCCAGATAGTTCAATCATTTGTGAGTTTCTCACACAATCCAGCCTGGTTAAACCCAGGATGGATCGTAGGCAGGCCAGCCTAAATGTTTATAACCAGCGCAAATGTCCCATTATGGGGGTCCACGTTTTGCAAGCATAGAGAAGGGAAGGGCATGACTGCAGCCGAGAAGAACCAAAGCTTTGAGTGGAGTGACAGACCAGCTAGCTTCCACATAGCAATATGCAGCGAATGAAAATTTAATGCCGCTCAACTGATGCGGTGTGAGACCTCTGCTGTCAACCCGGAGCTAGTTATAAACATACTGTCCAGGTTTGGAAACTTCTCCACACTTGAACCTTCGTATTTCTTTGGTATTTAGAGGCCTCCCTCATAATTTGAGGCCCTAAGCTATAGCTTACTTAGCTTAGGCCTAAATCCATCCCTGCCTGTAACTATTCAATCTGTTCACCAGGCAAAGGAGGAATGTAATCAATTCAGGAATATCAACGCTCAACAATTGCAGGTTTCCGACAGTTCTAAGAGGCTTTAAAGAGAAGGAGAGATACAGTCGACCCTTCTGCATCGCGACTTTCCCATCGCGGTTTCCATAGATCGTGGGGTCGGCATAAGAAATTTAATGGGAATTGTTTTTGTTTTGGGAGTTTTGTGAAAGCCGCAGACGACACGCGAAGGCCAGCAGTCGACACACAAAAAGTTTAGTAACTCATAAATGCATAAAATATATGTACAGTACTGTATAATATTAATGTCTTTTATTTCACAGCGCCCCCCCGAACCTCCCGGCTGGAGGTGCTCGCTTTGCTCGCCAAGGGGACCAAAACATTTTACGCGTTTTTTCCAGATCACGGAGGGCCTGTGCCCCTAACCCCCGTGATGTGGAAGGGTCGACTGTACTTGTACTGTGTGTGTGCGTGTGTCCTTGGGCCGGGTGGCTAAAACACAGCAAATTGACATAGTAGGGGGAACAGGTGGTGCATCAGCCAGTCATCTCAATCACTCAACCCATGACACCTGGGTTGTGTCCCGTAATCTCGTTCTGCGCCTTGCATGGCACAGCAGTCAACCAGTGACACCCGGTTTCTATCCCGTACACTCCTGCCAGCGAGCCTTCGGCACTTCACGTGGGCTCAAAGTGCACGTAGCCTGGCACAAGCCCTGTGCTGACATCACTGCCACTTAGTGGCGTGGGATGTGTATTGCTCAAGTTTCACGGTAGCTTATATTTTGATTTGCAGCTGCAGGGCTCCGTCTGGTTGGAGGTGCCAACCGCTGTGAGGGCCGCATGGAAGTCTACAAGAATGGCGTGTGGGGAGAGCTCTGCAGCTCCACTCTGAACAGAGACATCGCAGACGGCATTTGCCATCTCCTGGGCTGTGGCTGGAGCCTTGCTTATGGTAGTAACGTGTCGGCATTTGGACTCGGACAGGGAACCATCTTCCCAGATAACCTATCCTCCATTACTGTCAGCATATTTTCAAGTCTCCGGGATGGAACAAACAATTGTAGCTATGACCAGACAGCTGCCATCATTTGTGAAGGTAAGTAAACATTATTAATTTAACCTCCCCCACAATTCCCACACTTCGGCTCTACTTTCCTCTGTCTACTATCGCTTTCTGTTTATATTTCTCACTCTAATTCTATAAACCCCTTCATGGCCCCGCTCCAACCCCCCTATCTTGCTTCTCTCGTCTCTTATTACTCTATCCTATCCCGTCCTCTATGCTCCCAGTCTCTACCGTCCCTCTCTGCGCCTCCATCGTAACCCTGCGCTCAGTCTCACTCGTTTGTTTCTGCTCCTTTATCGCTCCCCTTCACTGGAACCGACTCCCACTGCAACCATAAATCAATCTTCTTCACCACAACAACAAACTGCATGTTCCATTCCTCCCTTAGAACAACTCCCATCTCTTCTCCCATAGCCCAGCATCATCCTGCTACTAATACTCCCTGACCCTATCCCCAGCTACCACCGCTACCCCTACCCCTATTACTACGCACTACCCCTATCAGTACCCCAACCCCTATCACTACCCGTATCACTACCCAAACCCCTATCACTACCTTTTCACTACCACTACCTCTGTCATTATTCCAACCCCCCTAGCTCTCCCCCAAACCCTCCTTATCCACTCCCACCTGTCCTCCTAACGGTCATCATAACTACACCACCACTTTGACTAACCCCAAACTTTCTTTTAACTTATCTTTTGTACAATTTAATAATTGTTATATAGAGACACATAGAGACCCGTCAAGATACAAATAGTGTGAATGTTGAGCTTATTACACGGATGATGATCTCGTGCAGGCAGTTACCCAGCTATTTTACACGGGAGATCCGTGGTCCGGTGAACACTGCATCAAAGATAAACAAACCAAATATTTAAGAGAACCAGTACAACCGGGGCCTGAGGAATATTGCATAACTAACAAATGAGCGTTCGCGTGACACATCTCACAAGTAGCTTTGTGACATCTGCTTCCGTGGACCATTCCATAAAACACAGGGGATGCATGTATTTAATGAGTGGGTGGCTTTTGGGAGGAATCCAGGACACAGAGGAACTCCACCGTGTAATACGAGGGGATGACACTCAAAGGTCCAGACAGAGAGATTCAAGCATCCATTGCTGTGCTTCCATCTCTTGGCCAGCTCTCAGCCAGCCCTAAATTCTCCAGTTCCAGCCATTGCCAAGCAGTCTCCGATTCCAAGTTGAAGTGTATCCCTCGATTTACGATAGTTTTCTTTACAAATATCGCATTCACGCAATTGACAAATTATTAACACTTTTCGATGAACGAAATCGAATTTCCGCGTGACCAAAATTTCACTTTGGCAAGCGCAATGAGATCATCAAACAAGAAGCACCACTCGAGAGGCTGCCTCATCCATCCGCTACTGGACATCTGTGAAAAGAGCTTCATAGCTCATCAGATTCCTTCAGTCTAAATACATATTCGAATTTTGAACCGTGATAGTATCATGGTACTATCACGGATCAATAGTGTATCATTAACGCCTCCATCACTTTTCCAGCCATTCCAACATGCAGCAGATATTGGTGAGTTCCCTGACAAGGTTAATTATGTTTGCTTTAATCATTTAAATATTTATGTTCTTTATTTTTGTATTGTGAAAAGTGATATAGGTGTATCTTTCTAGGTCAGAAGTAGAGTTGTCCGAAACGCATCCCTCATTTTTACTATTAAAGTTATGAGAAAAGCCGTTCTGATTTACAGAATTAAGTTTTACGTGCGTTTCTTTAAGAAAGAATTCCTTTTGTAAATCGAGGGGGTACCTAGGGTCAGCCCTGGCACTGCACATTGAGGTATCCTTATCGGGGATCACAGGTGAAAGTGCAGTTCCAGGAATAAAAAAACCTAGTCAAGGGACGTGCAGGATGTTGGATTTGTGGTTATGTAACTGTGGAGTTTAATCAACAACCAAGAAGATGGTGATGGCTTGTGGAGCCCTTCATCATGCAGTGGATAGTTTACGATTGATTATTGTATCATGATGAATTAATATCCAGTCATATGTGATAGTGACTATTTAAACACATTTCATTTGTGTGCTGCATTCTAATATCGTTTTCTAAAATATATTCTCTTCATCAGCTGCTGGGACTGCAAACCATTCTTTGTTTGTAACTGGATCAACAAGTAAGTCACCTGAAAAAGAAATGTCCTTGTTCCATGAAAAGTTTCTGAAAACTGTACTTAGAGCCATGTTATATTGCATTAATACTGCAGGGCTTGTACACACTTCTGTTGCCTCCTCGTTTAACGCAGTTAATACATGTGTAACGACATAAATGAGTCATTCTATGGCGATACTGGGTGGACTATTACATAAGGGCTCACTAGAGGGTAGATTCCGGATGTCACGAGGATCGGATCCGGACATGACAGTCTGGACGAACCCGCGAGATCACGTGACCGGAAAAGGGGGCACGGGGACCCCCAGAAGAGTGTGATCGGGGCACGTGATGTGGACCCAGAGCCTCCGCGAAGGATCGAGAAGGCGGAGAGTGACCAGGGGTGGAGCCCGGTCATGCCTCAGGAGATATAAGCCGAATCCTGAGAGGGAACGTGGCTCACAATCTAAGGTCTGCGAATTCAAACCTTGGTTGGGGATTGATTCAGCCAATCATTTCTCCAATATGGATATAATAGAGTGCCCATTTGAGGAAAGAATTGTGTCGACTCCTTAATGATTTTCAGTTTTTACATGGACTCGTGTTTTATATTTCAGATGGAAGAGTGCGTCTGGTGGACCGTGAGTTGGAATGCCAGGGCCGCGTGGAAGTGTTTCACAACGGCTCCTGGGGCACGTTGTGTGGGTCCAGCTGGGATGTGTGTGGCGAGTTGCAATGTGGAAGTCTCGTGAATGCCATCACGCACCATGGCTTATTGCAGCGTCCAACATGGAACGCCCATTGCAGTGGCGTGGAGCAGAGTCTTGCCGACTGCGCCCTGACGCCAGGAAACAAGCATGATTGTGCACTTAGTGGATATGCTGGCGTCGTTTGTTCAGGTAAACAGGTATTACATGTTTAATTGATCTCGAGTTCTCTGCTCAGGGGCAGGTCTTTTCAGAATCTTATTCAGATTGGAGGAAGAATCCAATGAGCTATGAAGGTATTTTTTCACATATGTCCGGTAGACATCTTGATTCAATCTCCGTCCATCCATCCTCTATCCATGCCCCCTCTCAATACCTTTGCTACGGAATTTTGAGTCAACTGATGAGGGTTCCTATATTAAAATAAACCACATCATCAGGATGAAGCCCATTCGTGGAATGCTGAACTTCTTATGACAATAATCCCTCTTTCCAGGGCTGTCCATGGGGTGTGCAGGGCCCGGGGTAAGCTCCGCTGTGGCCCTCCCAACGCCTTCAGACTAAACTGGAACAATTACATCTAACACCGTAATGTCGAAGCGTGTAGAGCATCCCGAAGCTCGGGGCCAGATGTGGTCGCCCCGGTGATTCGCTGTAAACTAGGGACGGCTCTGCCTATGGCATTTCCATACGACTCAATGTCAGTTTTAATGTAAGCTCTGTCAATAGCGGTTGTGCAGTAATTTGGTAAAAACGTCCCCTGTTACAAGCGGCTTTGACCTTGTGCAGTTCCTCCATCTCTCCCATTTACGATATGAATGATGATCCCGTGCAGCCAGTTGCATTTCTCGAATTTATGTTGGCCTACTCCATGCAATCCAGCACCACTTCTTGGATCTTTCGGTGAAGTCACGTAGAATGGAAATAATAAAATAATAAAAATAAAACATAATAAAATAATTCTCACGACGTTTCGGCCACAACGCAAGCAGCCGTCCTCAGGTGGAGAACAGGTCTGTCGAGAAGACAGAGTCTGAATGACACACCCCAGGCTTGGAGTGTCTATTTAAGCTGGGATGGAGGGGGGAAGAGCGCCTTGACAAAATAATTTGCATATCAAGATGAATTTAGCATATTTATGGGAAATGCAGATATGCGATTAGTACTACTTGTGAAATGCGTAGGAGGTTTTGCGATGGGTTTAAAGTCATTATGCCCGTGCATTATGCAGGATTAGCAGCATCAAAGGGAGGGGAAGGAATGTTAATAGTATGTAGCTGCAGTAACTAAACCACCACGTAAACAACTAAAGTATAAACTACATAGTATCATCAGTATACTAAATATACTCTCCAATAAGCCGAGCTACTAACAATAAGTAATACATTACAATTCTATGTCGCAAAAAATATTATATGCTTCCAGCTACACTTTATTCTCTTACATCACACCAGTCTACACCGAAATCCAGCACATGTTAAACTGTATTTGATTTCCTACACAAATTAGGGTCTCGTTTAGCCAGTTACCTGGCTATTTTACACAGGCTCATATAGATACAGAGAGACACATAGAGACCCATAGAGATACATAGAGTAGCAATAATCTCACATGCAGTTGATAAAATACAGGAGCAATTGGATTTTTTTATGAAATCCGATATCCCACCCAGATGAAAAAGATTGAGATTAGTCCACAAGTGCTCTGTCGCCTTGTTCTCATGAACAAAGGTATGGCAGTTCAATAAAATAGATTTTTTATTTTACCAAGTAAGGACCACTCGGCTATATATCTCTTTTTTAGAAACGACCTGGCAACAAATGAAGGCCCAACAAAGTGGCTTATCATGTGAACATTTATAGCAGCAAATACTCTAAACAGATGTTTATAATGTGGAGGGAAACATCGGATGACCCAGCGAAAAATCCACGCGACCACAGGGAGAGAGACATGCAAACTCCAAATACATAGCAGATGTCAGGGTCTGAATGGATCCCACGACTCCCTGTATACCAGACAAGATTGTTAACATCTCGCCACCGTCACGTGGTGTGATCCACCAACTACGAAATAGGGGATGAATTACAGGTCACGTGCACAGCCATCAGACTCAATCACCACATGGAGGTTAACTTCATAATTCGGATGTAATGTTTGCACAAAACGTTAATGCAATACAGTACTCGTGTCACGACCAACGTCAACAAAGAGTAACTCTAGATTTAGAAACGAGGATCCTGTAAAGTGATAGATACCAGGGGTGAACGGTTTAGGTAAACATTGAGCCACAAGGGTTTAGATCATATTGACAAGAGCGTTCTCAACCGCTCAGATTCAATCCACCTTTTCAGGACTGTGGATCGTTGTTTGTATTTATCTGAAACAGATCACTTTATATAGCTAATGCGTAATGATGTACAATGCAATACAAGCGCTCCCCACTTCTACGACGTTACAATGCGTTCCTGGAAACCAATGGTCGTCCTAAATTGGATCTTAATAAATCCAACCCCTATTTTCCCTTAGACGGTGGACACAGCAGAAACGTCACTTTATCGGCCATATTTAACAGGGTTAATAGGTCAAGATCCACACAGTCTGTTAAATGTCACGTGAGAAGATGCGTCGTAAATCAAATTTCTGCGTCTTAAATCGATTCACGGTGCTGTTTTCTGAACGTAGTAAATCGGGCCATCGTAAACAGGAGACCGCTTGTATTATGATTGCATGATCATATTAACTCCGGGGACCCATTTGTAAACTTGATTTCATTTCCATTTATGGCGGTTAAACAGGGCCTCGCTTATTTAGTTATTTATTTTACTCTACAGCGCCACTCAGCACGCTGCTGCTGTGAAACATTATTTACCATATTCTTTGGGTCTTTCGGTAAAGTCACGGAGATAGGTTGAAAGAAAATAACAAAAAAACGACGTTTCGATCACAACACAAGCGATCGTCATCAGGAGGAAAAAAGAGTAAAGCTGCTGAGGCAGACCGTTTTTTTACCACTTTCACCACGATTCAACATCTTGGCAGCACAGTAATAGACAACGACCCCACGTATAGCCTTAACAGACTGTCGGGGCAAGTGCTGTTCGCGAGCAGCACCTATAAACGCCGGCATGGCACACGAGGGGGTGGGTGGCCAGCACGACGCCCGACCGCCTTTGTCTCCCCAGTGGCGATGTTTACGCACAGCACCAGAGAAAAGTCAAGCGAGTCATGAACAATTAATAAATAAAAATAGAGTAAGAAGTACATATATTCTTGACAATTTGTCAACAATAAATGCAAGCGTGAGCAAGGCAGTAAAACAACAACAGTCCCAGACCACACCAAGACAACACATCGTCCCCTCAATTAAATTGTACATAACAATTGAACTATCAATACAACCCTTGAAGACCCACGGCATACGAGGGGGTGGGTGGCCAGAACCATGCCCGGCAGCCTTCGTCTCCCCAGTGACGATGTTTATGCACAGCACCAGGTACTCATTTAAGGTTGAGTCGACGTAGGGGAGGCTCGTGACCAGTTCAGAGAACCGTCGCTGCTGTAGGTGGCCGTGAGCGGGAATTGAACTTGGGTCGCCAGGTTCGGAGTGCAGTGCGCTAAGCACAGTAATGGCACACACACACACACACCCCTGTTGCTTCTTATTTTCATTCATCCAAACGTTTCCTCTGCGGGTTTCTATGGCCTGATGAAAGTATTGTCATCACAGCGTGATCCAGTATGTTTATTACAGTGCAACAATTTTTTTGATCGGGGCTGGAATTTAGGCAAATTAAGTTTCAAAATCAAATTTGAACGCAATGTGCTTTTATGTTGTTGTGGGCAGTCATTAATGAGTGGGCTGAGAAGAACAACTTTTACTGCACTTGAGATTCCACGCTCCAAGTCTTTACCGTCCCTGTCTGTTCTTCTCTCGCTCTGCACCCAGTATCGCTCTCTCGCTACTGTCCCCTTCTTGCTCTCCTTTACTGGAACCAGCTCCTATTTCAGCCATACATCAACCTGCAGCTTCCGTTTCCCCTTTAAAACACCTCTTCTCCCCTGCCCCCAACCCCAGATACGACCAGGCCTACCCCAACCTCTATTACTACCCCGACTCCTATCACTACCTCTAATCCTACCCCTATCCCTACCCAATACCTACCCAACCCCTATTACTACCCCAACCCTTAACACTACCCCTCTCACTATGCCTGGCACTACCCCTCTCACTACCCCTGTCACTACCCCAACCCCGATCACAAGCCCTATCACTTCCCCAACCCCTGTCACTACCCCTCTCACTACCCCTGTCACTACCCCAACCCCGATCACAAGCCCTATCACTTCCCCAACCCCTGTCACTACCCCTATCACTACCCAAACCCCAACCCCTACACCAACCCCTCCTTAACCACTCCCACCTACCTCTGAAAGCTGTGTTCGTGCATCATGGATCTGCCGTGCAAAGTAGCCAAGCAACTGGTGACATGACACCATCATCCGTGTGTAGCGTCAGATCGCGTACGCACATGTGTAGCGCTGTAGATGGGCTGCACTTACCTGCAATGGCGGACGGTGCCCATCATGGGCGGTACCTCGTACCGGCAGGGAGGTCGCTAGAATCCACAGCCCAGGAGGGAGGGGGCTGCGGGGTGTCCTGGGATCCCCCTGGACCCCCCCCCCCACCCTCCGGGGACTCCTGGGGGGGCGTGGCCAGAGCTGACACGCCGGGGAGGTGTATAAAAGCAGGACCTCTCCACAGGTTGAGGGCAGAGTAACGACGACTGAAGACCGAAGACCAGCTAGACTAGGACACTGACCTCGAGCCCGCTGCCCTTGTAAGGGCCGGGTCGAGCTTGGACCAGTGGTCGGACCCGTACCTTGGCTGGGTCGGGTCAGGTAGCCTCCCCTAGGACACGGATAGCCGGAGGGCTGGGAGCCAGCAGGGGGCAGTGTTTAGGTCACGATAGCCCAGAGGCCATACCTCCCTAGATAGGGGGTGTTAATGGAGTTGCTGTTAGTTAAAAATAAACATACCGTGTTGCCTCTACAACAACGTCTCCATCTCCATAAAATAACTCACTACACGTGTAACAAATAAAATAAACTCGACACTCAAAGCTAGATTTTTCTTCCCTCTCTCACACACATGCAGGCGTCGGAATCATCAGCCAGGCCGTGCTGAGAGTAGAGTTAAACAAAACAGCTCTCTCTCTCCATTGCAGATGTTGTAGCAACCGTTGTGTTTCTTACAGCCGCTCGCGTTCGACTTCTGGGAGGCAACAGCAGATGTGAGGGTTTGTTGGAGGTCTACAGGAACGGAGCCTGGGTCGGGCTTTGTAGCTCAGTGCTGGATTACCAAGACGCCGATGTGATCTGCAAGTCTCTCCACTGCGGAAAAGCATCGTTCGTTGGAAACACAACCGAGTTTGGCCTCGGATCCACTTCTGTTCTTTCACAAAGCGTTGCTTGCGTTAAAACTGCAACTTCCATTGGAGATTGCAGTTGGCTTGACTCCGTACCGTGTCATTATACACAAGCGGCCTCTGTGATTTGTGCAGGTTAGCAACGTGAGAATGTACACCACTGATTACATACACACACACACGGGACTCAGAGGGCAACTTGCTACTGATTATGTAATATTAAATAATATTATTGGGGCTCCGCGGTGGCGAGATGTTATATCCTTCTTCTGGTATGGAGGAGGTTGTCGTTTCGATCCCGAACCTGGCGAGCCTGTATATTTAGAAGTTGTGCGTTCTCTCTCTGTCCCCGTGGTCACGTGGATTTTTCTCCTGGTCCTCCGGTTTTTCCCTCCGCATTTAAAATCAAGATGCGTTTAGAATATTTGGCTGCTATAAATTTCCACGTGATGAGCTACTTCGTTAAACTATCATTTGTGGCCTGGTCGCATCTAAAAAAAATGCTATATAGCACAGTTGGCTTTGCCTGCTAAAATAACAAATAGTATAATCGCGTTAATAGTATCTAAATCGTATGAAACGATGTGACAGTGGATACTATAGTGATTTTAAAAACTCATAAAATAAAACAGGTGTGACTCACGAACTGAGGGTTTATGCAGACATCCGATGAACACCTCCGGTCAGTACCCGCACCTCAGATTAGCACAGTTGGCTACGCACGGTGTTCAACATACGTGCATATATACATACAGACGAGCAATGTTTCGATGTAATTAAAGCACAATTTAAATAAGTTCCTATTTGATTCTGCACACATTTGAGATTATTTATCGGATGTATTTATACATTATTCTTTTAAAAACTATGCTGTGTATTTTTCTCTTTCAAGTTCCTGTGGAGAAAACAATAGTCTTTTCAGGATATGATGGAGTCATATTGTCTAACAATTTTACCATGGATGACAAGTCCCTGACCTATACATTTCTAATACAATCCAGATCTCCAAATGTAATAAAAATTAAAATTGAGAACATAAGGTAAGAAAATATTGCGTTGTCAAAACATAACAAATCCACCTCCACACTACAATGCGCTATACACAGTAGGATTAATCTCGTTCACAGGCGAAATAAGAATTTCAGGAGCTTTGCCCAAGGATAATTTAGGAGTTTGTGCAACCCATGGGGCATCGCGAATTTAAGGATTCGCGGATTTGAGGAGTTTCACTTTACAGTAAATTTCCGTTTAACGCTTGGCGTCCACACTATGCGTTTTCTTTTTAACATGGTGTTTCTTTCGTAAAACGTTTTTCGCTTAACGCAGGCCACACCCGCTACAACACAAGCCTAGCACATGACGGACTACTCACTATAACCCGAGTCTAGAACGTGATGGAGTACTCGCTACAACACGAGTCTATCACGTGACGGACTACTTTCCTGAGCGGCGTGGGTGTTGTTACGGGTTGGAACGGCACACCCACTGTTACTGTTATTCCTCATGGGAAAAGTATTCCCACTTACCGCGATTTCGCTTTAATGCAACAGCCGCGTTAAGCGAGGACTCGCCGTATTTATGTACTAAATTAATCCTTATACCAATAGTGCGTTAACCGCAGTACTCTGTGCAATTAGTGGTGAAACAGAAGCGGTTCTGTTTTGGAACCGCTTTTGTTTAAAAACAGGACACTCTTTGATTCAAATAAGTTGACTGCACAGTTTTAATGGACGTGGATTGACTGAAACACATTTACAGTTTGGTCCGTGAGAGAGGTGGTAACGCGAGATATGTGCTTAACAAATGTTATTGTATTGGCCTGCAATTAGATGAGCAAGCTATTTTCGGACTGCGCCCTAAGCCTTTCCGTTTCATGGCAGCTTGCAAGAGAGCAACTCGTGCGTACTGCAACGGCTCGAGGTTTGGGATGGACAGGTGAGCGAAGGCAACTCCCTGGCTGTGCTCTGTGGGGGAGCCGCTGTTGGCCAACACATCAAGTCCACGAAACAGGTCATCTCCTTGGTGTTAAAGACAAGAGGACCGTTAGATGGTAAGTTCAAACAGAAATGTCACGTAGTGTGTACGCACGAGGTTGATTCGAATTCTCATTGACAATTTTTGTTGTTCTAAAAGCTATCGGATTTCATTCAAATATGTTACAATTGCTCCTGTACTTGTCATCAACTGCATGTGGGGATATTGCAAATGTGTCGACGGGGGTTGAGAGATGGAGGAACTTCACGAGGTTAAAACTGTATAGAACAGGGAACGTTTGCCAAATTACTCCGATACGGCTGTAAGACACAGCATGAATAATAAGGGACGTTGAATTGTGCGGTAATGCCACAGAGGTTTTTTCACAAGCGGTTCAGTATCCCCACAGAAGGTGTTTTTTTTTACAGAGATATGCTGAATGCTATTGGCATACACAATAGAAGAATATTTCAAATTAACACAAAGTGGGTTTGAGCAAGAACAGATTGGATTTAACAAGAATCTTTGACGAACCCAGACCCTTCTGCAGAGCGCACGAGGTAGTCAACATCTTGCCACCGTGGTGCCTATAATCTACATACTCTTTTACCGCACCTCAGATTAGAACAGTTGGCTACGTACGGTGCGAAAGAAGTTCGACACACATCATTGTATCAATGGAGAACAACTGGGATATAGAAGGAGAAGCTTTCAATTTGTAATAGAGATTATAACTTGGGTTGCAAAAGAATGATGTGGGTAAGAGGAGCACTTATTTTTTGTGATTGTGTTCAATTAGAAGTAGAGGCGGAACTCGCTTAGCACGACTCCGCAGAACGCTGATTCGTTTGAGCACTCTTAGTCGTGGAAAAAATATAATTTTTTTTAAAAATCAAAACGCCTACAAATTTATCACGAGTGAGAACACACAGCAGCAGCGATGGCTGAGGAAACCTACCAGCCCACATTATTCGCTTGGCCAACCAGCCCCCAACCACTGCCCACGATTCGAAACATACCCAGTCTCACTCTCTTCTTTTATCACTTCCCTTCCTCATCCACACTCCCCGTTCGTGATGCCTCCCTCCTCCCCGTCCAACTCCTTCTATAGTCACCCTTCTGTTATATGAAGTGTGAATACCTTTCACCAAATGAGCTTTGCCAATATTGAAAGCCATGTAAAATAGGATAAATATAAAGTGCAGACAGCCTCCAGTTTACAACGATCAACATTTACGACGTTGATATAATCCCACCATGGATCAATTTAGGACGCATTTTGCGACATGACTCCACACATTTGAACAGTGTCTCTGGCGTCCGATGTGACTTGGCATGGAGTTTTTCTTTTTCTGGAGTATTTTTGTGGATATTTGCCGATTAAATATTGTTAAATGTGGCTAATAAAAGGGAAAAAGACGTCGGTAAGTAATGTTTCTACTGTCTATGGGAAAACTGTCGAATTTACGATAATCCGATTTATGATGACGGGGCATCCAGGAACACATCGTGATGCCATAAAAGTGGAGACCCCCAGTATATGGATCTGTTTGACTGTAATGAGTGTAATGCCGAGATGAATTCAATCCACTGGAAAACATTCAATTTCACCGCAGGTCGAGGATTCAACATTAGCTACAGCTCCATTAAAGTCACAAGGCCTTCAGGTGAGGACATGCCCAGCGCACCCTGTCAACCCGTGCAAATGTTAAACATTACATTCAGTGGACAATTTACAAAGTGTCGATTTAACAGTATTGAGGCACAGCTTGCCTTCTGACCATTCACTTTGGGATGACTCCAGATAAGTGGAGTTCATCATCATCCAAATTCATCCTATTGTACAAATTCCGCAAGATTATATTAAAGATATATGGAGTAGATGCACGCATACCCCTGACAAATATAATCTGTCATACTATTGTATTTTAATTATATAGAGAACCTTTGGTCAAAGTGCTAAGCATAGTTGTAATACGGTAACATAATAGAATGGTTTACCTCGCATGAGCGTGCAAGGATTGAAGAATGAGTGACCGAGATAGAGGGATACCCATGGGTTCGAAAAATGTAGGGGAGGGACAGGAAGGAGTGGAGGGATGAGGGGAGGAAAGGGAAAAATAATGGGAAACAGAGAAGAGGTTGAGGCTTTAAAACTGCTTAAAGTACACGATAAGTTTTGAGTTTATGCGCAGTGTTGAGTCTATCGGAAGTGTTGAGCCCATAGGCTGTGTTGAGCCCATAGGCAGTGTTGAGTCGATGGGGCAGTGTTGAGTCTATTGTGCAGTGTTCAGTCTATGAGCAGTGTTGAGTCTATGGGCAGTGTCGATTCTATTGACAGTGTTGAGTCTGTTGACAGTGTTGAGTCTGTTGACAGCGTTGAGTGAATGGGCAGTGTTGAGTCCATGGGCACTGTTGAGTCTATGGGCTGTGCTGCTCAATGTACAGTTTAAGTTTATTCCAGTGGAGGATGGCGAGGGAGATAGTTCGGAGTTGAGATTGGGCATAGGGAGAAGGAGGGACAGAGAGAGAGAAGACTGGGAATGAAAAGGACGAGAGGAGTGGGTGTGGAAGGAAATGAGAGTGGCGATATGAAGTGGGCCAATGTCACGGAGAGATTTATAGACTCGAGTTAGGATTTTTATAAGACAGCGGGGTGGTAAACGGGAAGCCGGTGGAGTCTGTTGCAGAAGGAGAGATGAAGGGTGAGAGAATTAGAGTGGGGAGTTTTAAAGCAATCCCTGCCGAATAATTGTAACATTTTTGGAGGGGAGTGACAGCCTCGGCAGGGAGACCCAGAAGAAGGGGATTACATTACCAAGAATAAGAGGACTTCTACTGTTCGTTTAGTTCGAGTGAATACAATGGTCTATGACATTGTTGATATTGTTTTTGTATTTCAATTTCAGTACCTGTAACTTGTGGGACGACATCAGTAAACACACAGAGTCCCTGGGTGGTTCAAATGCAGAACGTGTACGGCTATTCCTCTTGCAATGGTGTGCTCATTGGAATTCGATGGATACTAACTCCTGCAAACTGTGTTAACAAGTGAGTTCCATGCATGCTGTGTGCATTTTAATGTAATACATTCCCCATACATATTTAAAATGTGTGTGTGTGTGTGTGATGTGCGCTAACCACTGCACTACAAACCCAGCGAGCCGGGTTCGATTTCTGCTCACGGCTACCTGGTACAGTGTGTAAACATCGTGACTAGTGAAACAAAGGTGGCCGAGCATGGTGCTGGCCACCCACCCCCTCGTGTGCCATGCCAGCCTTCATGGGTGCTCGCCGGCCCACCCTGTCCCTCTCCTTCCATGAATCGTAAATAGACAATAAAAATAACAAATTTCGGAAATGATGAGTAACCACTCTGTATTGTGTTCTGGTTGTTGTATATATTGTGTTTAAAAAAGAAAGAAAATATGCTGATTTGTGAAATTATGCCAATGAATGAAATTCTGCAAATTTAATAAAATAATTAAACTTGCGTGTATTTCATGTTCATTGATGTCAATTGAGGGTAAGTGTAATGTGATCAATCTATGTGTGATTAAATGTGTAAAAGTTTACATAAAAATGCATGTATATGATCTATGTGTGTATAGGAGTGTTATTAATGTTTGTGTGTTAGTTTGTATTATGATCAATCGGTGTGCGTGTAGTTACGTGTATTATTATTGGCTCGGCTTCGTTGTCTAGGGGCGTATCTTATGTGTGTGACGGTGTGTGTGTTGCTTAGCTTCATTGTCTAGGGGTGTATTACCAATCGTGATAATACAATGATTCTCGCTTAAACATTTACTGGTTATGATTTTAGTGTAATTATGTCCAGTCGCAGGATTCAGATCTCGCCACAGGATACAGTTTTTCTAGTTTGATAATTATGCAAAAACTTAGGAAGGAACCACTCAGACTATTCTGTGTTAAGCAACTTTAATAGCTAAAACCACTCTAATGTGCGAACACGCTTATGATCGGAATTGCCACAACAGTACTCCTGCAGATATCATACTCATCGATCCGTCAAATTAAACCTCAATGGTTTGGTTGTTAAATTGGGCACTAAAACAATAGGCTAACTCCTCATAGCAGCGCGACAATATACGACGATAGGAAAGTCCTTAAAATAACAATATTCATACGGAACCGTGCTAAAGAAACATGTGCCCTATGGCAAAAGGGGGCATTATAGAATTCATTGGTAAGATTAGGCAATTTCAAGAAATTTCTCAAAACAATATTATTCGTGTGAGTGTGTAGATTCGTGACATAAATGCTTATCTTCTTGATTCTTTCGGTAAAGTCACGTAGAAGGAAAATAATAAAATAATAAAAATAAAACATAATAAAATTATTCTCGCGACGTTTCGGCCACAACGCAAGCAGCCGTCTTGCGTTGTGGCCGAAACTTCGTGAAAATTATTTTATTATGTTTTATTTTTACTATTTTATTATTTTCCTTCTACGTGACTTTACCGAAAGAACCAAGAAGATGAATCCCTGCAGTCACGAAAGCTTCAAATCGAAATAAATGCTTATACATATTTAGTGTGACATCAATGAATTTATTGGTAAGATTATGCAATTAAAGAAATATCCCGAAACAATCGTATTCATGCGAGTGTGTATAGATGTAACATAGATGCTTATAAATGTTTAGCGTTACATAAATTAATGTATTGGTTAGATTATGTGATTAAACGAAAACCAATTACTAAAATACTTCTAAAATACCGTATTCATGCAACGTGAGGGACAGAACAATGCTTCTCCACGACAAACTAATAATTAACACAACACCTTGGAATGGCCACCCTTTTCGAAACAAAAACCCCGTGGAACAATCTTCATCGTACCGATATGCGCTTTGTGTGTGTGTTGGAGGGCAGTCACCACTAGGTCGAATAATTATAGCAGGCAGTATGGTTTGCACGTATTGTGTCTGCTAACTGTGGTTCTGGGGTCCAGCGTTTTTCCTTATACCGAAAATACCTCAGGTCCCCAGCAGGGGGCGATGGGTCGGCGGGTGGGTGTTGTCGAACACACGGCGTTGTCAGGCATTGTCCACAGCGGAGTGGTTGTCGAGTCGGCACGCTGCGCACGCAGCATGCCGACTCGACACGTCTGCAGTAATGTGTACCGAAAAAACCTAAGAATATGTGTCCCAAACCCATACGGATGCCTAAATAAAGCCTAACTCCCACCACCATCCATCCCAGAAGAATTCCCTCATCAAAACTCTACACCATAGAGCTTGATGTATTCCCGACCATCATCACCTAGCCAGTCAACTGGAACACGTACACCAAGCTCTCAAGATGAATGGATATTCAGACTACATAATCCATAACGCTTTCACCCCCAACCATTGGGAAAGAACAATCTGAGGACCCAATCAAAATCATCACCTTGCCATACATAGCAGGGGTCACCAAAAATATTTCCAAAATCATGAGCAAACACATGATCCAATTTAGATTTAACACAGTACGTAAAAATCGTGATCTGATCCCATCTGGGAAGGATGTGATCCCTGACATGCAATACCCCGGCGTCTACAAACTAAGCTGTGTCTGCAGCGGTAGTTACATTGGGGAAACTAATAGACATGTCTCAGACCATGTTCGTGAACATAAGGCAGATCTGAAACACGGTAGGACCAATACCTCGGCTATGGCTGAGTTTTGTTTTAATGCGGTGGGCTCACACGAAATGTATTTCTCTAAGACGAAGGCACTTTGGAAACCCACTGGCTATCAACAAAGATTCGTTCATGAAGCCATCCATATATACAGACACAATTTCAACTGAGAAGACGGGTACAAACTTAGCAATCATTGGAAGGACGTTATCAACCAGTTTAAATCATAACTGGCTGTGATGTTCCCATCTTACCACCTTCTGATGTTAGTTGTTATTTTCGGCTTTCCGATTTTACATTAACATATTAAATTTCTCACGTTAACACAGCCACCTTCGCGCGCCGACCTCAAGGTGACGGCGGCTCTGTGATCTTACATTAACATGCTAATCTCTCATATTAACATAGTCACCTCAGCGCGCTCGCCATGGAGGCCACTCACCGATCTTACATTAACATACACATTTTTACCTGGCAGCCCTTTAATTGGTGGAAACCCCACCACCATCGCGGTCGCTGTCCACCACTTACATTAACATTAGCTTCCCCGCCCATACTGCTGACATTTGGGCTATGCCTATTTCAAACCTTTATAAACAGTTTGACTTTAGAAGCTAACCTCCTTTTCCTGATGCCGACTGCTTGTGTTGCGATCGAATCGTCGTAGTTTTTGTTATTTTCTTTGAACCTATCTATGTGACTTTACCGAAAGACCCAAAGAATATGAATTACCTTACCTCAATGTTAAGGCCATAAGTCTTTCAATGAAAAGCACAACGTAACACAACAGCACTAAATGTAATCAACTATTACAAACAGAACTTCTATTTTGATCACTAAAACATTCTAATCATTTTCCAACTCCGTTAAATCTGTTGATTTTAGTTGGGTTGATAAAAAAAATAAGCTAATTATTAACACCCATGCACGAGGCTAACACCATCTTATAAAAATTTCCCGCGCAAAAACCGGCAAACTAGCACAACACTAAAAATAAGTGGACATCTCATGTCTGCAATAATCACCAGACACATCCCCATCACCCTATTTCAATCAACATTCATATCAAAGTCTTATTTGTGCATATATTCATCACTACCAATAACTCAATCAACTGTCAATTAAAATTACCGAGTTTATGTCACCTATTCTTTCGGTAAAGTCACATAGAAGGGAAATAATAAAATAATACAAATTAAACGTAATACAATTCTAATAAAAGACCAATTAAGAGTTTATTGATCACCCCGTGCCCTTATAAATCTCAACGTTCATCCTACAAAGTCCCATCAAAATGGAGAAATGAACCTGATGGCGGGACCCCGGGGTGCCATAAGCCCCCGGCTCTCTCATAAACTGCGCTGTGACGTCATTTTATGTCTGTTGAAGGAGAACGATACCGCAATCTATTCCTCTCGACGAGCTCTATACGATACGCTAATCAAAGTTTCAAAGTTGTGTTTCTTCTGCGCATTCGTCCTCGCTGTGCTTGGACGACATGACAACAGAATGATCTGCGCCAGGTGGGTCGTGGCGTTTATGTGTGCGGTGGGACAGAGTCGCCAAAAATAAATTAATTACGATTTTGATTTCCGTTTATTCGGGACCCCGGGGTCCCGCCAGAAGGTTCAAATACAAACAAATAAAAAAAGTTTGCCGTATTGAAACGGCTGTACACCGTATGGACCTGAAAACTCAATTTCCCTGCACAAGGACACGGGAAAACGATATGCGTTGACAGGTAGGCTGTCAGTCAATTAACATTCAAGTAATATTAATTTAAGTTATACTTCATATTTTAATGGAGCCAATGTAATATGCATCTCACCAGCATGGAGTCAACCACAATTATAAATTGAGGGCGTGCCTTTTACTCTGAATAGTCTACACACTGTAGGGTTATGGCCTGCTGTTCACTGGGGGCTCGTGGTCCTATTTTCTCTAATCGTAATTGCCTTCACTTACAACGAAAAAACCGCAGCAATTACAGCAATACGTCGCAGAGTGCACAGTTATATGTCTGATCATCACAGGTTAGCTCACACTAGCTACACAAACAACACTTGCTCCTGTAGTCTGTGCAGGCTAAACGGGAGATCGTTATCTTTGTGTAACAACTGAGACGACTGAAAACTTGGAGCCTCTTTATTGAAAACACAGTGACTATACTAGGCCCTGACTTGGTTCTTCATTTCGTGGTTCGTCCCTTCCCTCGTAAGTCCCCACCCCTCGTGCTTCTCTACTTTCATGCTCCTCGAGCCCACTTTCTCGAAATTTCCTGACCCTGTTCTTCCTTTAACCAATCCCTGTCCTTCTTCTCTAATGTATCCCCTATTTACGTTCAAACCCTTTTTCTCCAATCAGTTTAAAAGCCTGCCTCCCAACCAATCCCTGTGGAGGCCTCTTTTTGTCAATCGGAGACCGTGGTTAATTTTCGAACTAGCCATTAGGCTGCACATTGGCTTGGGGACATTTTTTTGGTCATTACATTTGTGAAGTATAAATGTGTGTGCATTTTAATGGAAATATCTTCTTTAAACATAGTCCAAACAACGTCTTAATGTAATAGTGACATTAACAATGTGACCCGGCCAGGTTTCTCTAAATAGATACTTATTATTTATTTCAGCCGGAAGGGACCAGTGAACTACTGCTCTGATTTCATCGGCGTCCTACCATGGTTCAGATGTTATACACAAGGACTAACACCACCTACAGACTCAAAACTGCCTATAGACTGACACTGTCCATAGTCTCAACACTGCCCATACACTAACACTGTCCATAGACTCAACACTGTACATAGACTCACACTATCCAAAGACTGAACACCTCCCATAGGCGAACACTGCTCACAGACTAACACTGCCCATAGACTCGCTCTGCAGATAGACTCAACACTCAATGCTGCCCATTGACTCAACGATGCCCATAGAATGAATACTACCCATAGACGAATACTGCCCACAGACTAACACTGCCCATAGACTACCAGTACAGGTAGACTCAACACTGTCCATGAAATCAACACTGCCCATATATTCAACAATGCCGATAGACTAATACTGCCCTTAGATTTAACAGCACATATAGATTTTATGCTTTTAGCAATGCACACGCGTCATCCGTGGAGAGGGGGGGGGGGATTTCTGAATCGCGTACAAAATGCTACAAAAATACGCACAACACTGAGGTAAATTTTTCAAAGTGGCATGTCCTCTTCTCGCCCCCCACCCCAATGTGTGCACTTCATACTATAGGGTTGGTAGATACTAATACATATTATTGTAGCGTGGCCGGGGTGATTGTGGGGGGGGGGGGATAGCGGCCCAGCTCCCAGCCTGTCAAGGTGCCACCTCGGCCGGCTGGGCAATCTAGGCGAAGCCGGGGACTCTGCACAGGACTAGGCCTCACTGCTATAGAGTCAGCATGTACTACTGTCGTGATAGCAGGTACCGCCACAGTGAGTATACACTGCTGTAATAATTGCAGGTACCACCACGGTCAGTTTGCATTGCTGTAGTGAAAGCAGGTACCACCACAGTATGCACTGGTCTACTGATAGCAGGTACCACCACAGTCAGTATGCACTGCTGCAGTAATATCAGGTTCCACCACAGTCAGTATGCACTGCTGCAGTAATATCAGGTTCCACCACAGTCAGTATGCACTGCTGCAGTGATGCCACAATCCACCACAGTCGGTATGCACAGCGACTGTGAAAGCAGGTACCACCACAGTCGGTATGCACTGCTGTAGTGAAAGCAGCTACCACCACAGTCAGTAGGCACTGCTGTAGTGAAAGCAGGAACCACCAAAGTCGATATGCACTGCTGTAGTCATAGCAGGATAGCACCACAGTCAGTATGCACTGCTGTAGTGAAAGCAGGTACCACCACGGTATGCACTGCTGGAATCATAGCAGATACCACCACATTCACTATGCATTGCTGTAGTGAAAGCACGTAACACCACAGTCGGCATGCACTGCTGTAGTGATAGCAGCTACCATCACAGTCAGTAGACACTGCTGCACTGATACCAGGAATCACCACGGTCAGTATGCACTGCTGTAATCATAGCAAGTACCACCACAGTATGCACTTCTGTAATCATAGCAGGTACCACCTCAGTGAGTATGCAGTGCTGTAGTAAAAGTAGGTACCACTACGGTCGGTATGCATTGCTGAAGTGATAGCAGGTGCCACCACAGTCAGTAGGCACTGCTGTAGTGATATCAGCAACCACCACAGTTGGTATGCACTGCTGTAGTGATATCAGCAACCACCACAGTCAGTATGCACTGCTGTAGTTAAAGTAGGTGCCACCACAGTCAGTGTGCACTGCTGTAGTGAAGGCAGGTACCACCACAGTCGATGTGTGTGTGTTTTAGTCAATGTGTGTGCGTGGTGTGTGTGTGTGTAGACAACTAATAATTAAAAATTAAGCTACTTAATTTTACAATAATAATGTGTGTGTCTAAGTCCATGTGTGCGTGTGAGTCGATGTGCGTGTCTGCATCAATGTGTGTAAGAAGGTCGATGTGTCTGTGTGTAAGAGTCGATGTGTTTGTGTGTGTTAGTCGATATGTGTGTGTCAGTCGATGTGTGTGTGTTAGTCGATGTGTGTGCGTGGGTCCGTGTGTGTGTGCAAATCCATATGTTCGTGTGTAGGTCAATATGTGTGTGAGTATATCTGTGTATGTGCGTCGATGTGTGTGTGTGTATAAGTTCATGTGTGTGTAAGTCGATGTCTTTGTGGGTCAATGTCTAAGTGTATGTAAGGCGAAGTGTATGTCTGTCTTTTTCGTCCAGGCAATGTCGGGTACTTCCCGCTAGTGTAGTATAAAGGTGCATGAGTGCCAATGATGCACGATGTTGAATAATGATGCAGTGATTAGATTGTTCCGAGGTTGATATATATTCACAGCTTACAGTTCAGCTTGAGCCCAGTTCAAGTTGAGCCAATGTACATAATTTAGATGAAACATCACGACTTACAGAGTATCCTTGACACTGCGAGATGAGTAAAGACAGTGGTTGATTAAATGTAAAATGTATCTAATTTATTTTAAAATGTTACGATTTGCAGCCGACCAGTTTATGAGTGGCAAGTGAATTGGTTGGGATACCTTAGCGGGTGGTGGGGGTGGTGGAATTGGGGCTGGTTTGGGAATATCGCTGTGGCGAATATATTTGTGCACCCGAAGTACAATGCCTCCCGCCCTGACTACGACATCGCTGTGGTGGAATTAAGTCAAAGCATACAACCGACGGAGTACATAAAACCGGCGTGTTTGCCATACTTTTCTGAAGCCGTGCCTTTTCCCGGAAAATACTGCTTCCTTCATTCGAGTAAGTATTGCCCACGTGCATATACACGCAGAGTATTAATTTCGTTAAACACGTGGACAGTCGATGAATCACTTTGCTTATTGTGCATGAACGTTGCTAGGTTTCTGGAATAGATGTTGCTGTGAGCCGTCTTGTTTAGCACTCTAGCTAGCTCTGTCCTCTCGCAAAACAGTCATACAGGGATTCCTTGATATAACGTAATTGTAACGTAATTGACAAATTATGGTCACTTTTTAATTAATGAAATCGAACGTCTCCGTAAACGAAATTTCACTCCGGCACACTCCTTGAGATCAGCGTCATTCCAACATGCAGCAGATCTTTTGGTGAGTTCCCTGAATTTTTTTGTATTAACTAGTATTCATTCACACTATGGGGACATCATTTGCCAAGAAAAATATGATAATTGGTTCTTTACCCTTCTATCTGGCAACAAAACTGACACCTTTTTACAAGGAGTCTGTTTGCATAGACCGCAATACCTGCAGTCATAAATACAAACAAAAGACATAACTCTGATAATGTGCACTGTCCTTGAAGTTGATTGGTCCACACCCGAGACAGCTGTGTGTTGCCAGATAGAAGGGTAAAGAACCAATTATAGTATTCATTCGTTGCAATACTTAAGTTATGTATTATTATTGCACTGTGAGAAGTGATAAAGGTGTTAATGTTTAGGTGACGAGTAGAATTTGGATAACTTTCCAAAACACATCCCTCATTTTTAGTATTAATTCAATGGAAAAAGCCGTTCCTATTTACGACATTTCGTTTTATGCATGTTTCTTGAAGAACGAATCCCTTTTATAAATCGAGGGATACCTCAACCCCGATATACGCCTCCTCCTTTTTCCTCGTTTCGCAAATACGTCGTCACGTTATGAACACTGTTACCTGATCAGCGTCGCCTCAATCCCCTGACAGCATCATCTGTCCTTTCTCGTATCTATCACCTCTCAGCCTTCGCCTCCACCTACCTGCACACAAACTACTTTGCGTCGCGCATAAAGAAATGTGCCATACTATAGAGTACAATATATTATTTATAAACAAAATGTCGGTGATTGTTTTGTTTAGTGCACCGAATCTTATTGTGCCCTGTATAATTTGTGTTAATGTTTACTGCTCTACATTCGTATCGAGTACAGTCTGTATAACGCAGTAGTTGCGTTCCTTAAGAACACTGCGTTATGGAAAAACCGTGTACTAATAAATAAAATATTGTATAGGGGGTTAAGCACAGTCCACGATAACACGTGAGATGCGTATGCAGGCTGAACAAAGACTGGGGCGTGTGGGTAACATCTAGAAGCATCCAGCAGCATCCCAATGCCTTGTGTGACTATGCTACGCCGAGGCAGCCATACGACCACTTATTCCTACCCGCGCAACGTAGTTATGTTCACTCAATCACGTTATGTCCAATTCACATCCGCGTTATAAAAGATGTATCCCCCAATACATTCATCGCGTTATATACAATTTGCATTATGAAAGCACGCAGCGCTATAGAAGACTGCACAGTGCTTTTTAATTATTTAATGTAACGTTAGTTATTTAATGTAGCACGCAGCATCACCGTACTCTCCGTTGTCTTTGTTTAGCTCTCGTAGAAACATTGCTGTGATTGACGTTTCGATATTCGTCGCGGCACCTTTCAGCAACGAAAATTCGATGTAAACCGGGGTATTACTGTGTTGCAGAACAACTTGCACGGACACGACCTGTGAGAACGGCATGAGTTGATGTAACTAAGATCTATACTGAATAATAGCATCTGTACTGTCACAGGATGCCCATGAAATAGAACTAAGCAGTTTATTTGGAAGGTCCATGTACTTATACAATTTTATCTTATATACTTCATTATTTTTAGTGACTTGCTTACCTTTTCTCTATTTTGCACTCCTGTCACTACCCCTATCACTAACCCAACCGCTATCACTACCCCTATCACTAATCCAAACCCTTTCAACAACCCTGTCACTACTCCAACCCCTATCACTACGCCAACCCAACCCCTCTCACTACTCCAACCCCTATCCCAACCCCTGTCACTACACCAACCTTTATCACTACCTCAACCTCTATCACTACACCAACTCCTATCCCAACCCCTGTCACTACCACAACCCCTATCACTACTCCTATCACTACTCCAACCCCGATCACTACCTCTATCACTAATCCAACCCCTATCAACAACCCCTATCACTACCCCAACCCCTGTCACTACCCAACCCCTATCACAACCCTTATCACTAACCCAAACCCTATCACTACTCCAACCCCTATCACAACCCCTATCACTACAGCTATCACTAACCCAACTACTATCACTACCCCTATCACTACTGTAACCCCTATCACAACCACTATCACTAACTCAACCGTTGTTATTACCCCTATTACTACTCCAACCCATTTCGCTAACCCTATCAATAACCCAACCCATGTCACAACCACCATCACTACTCCAACCCCAATCACTACCCCTATCACTAACCCAACCCGTATCACAACCCCTATCCCTACTCCAACCCGTATCACAACCCCTATCACTACCGCTATCACTAACCCAACCTCTTCCACTACCCCTATCACAAACCCAACCCCTACCTCTACCCCAACCCTATCACAACCCCTATCACTATCCCAACCCATGTCACTACCCTAACCCCTATTATTACCCCTATCAATACTCCAACCCCGATCACAACCCCTATCACTACCCCTATCACTCCCCCAACCCCTGTCACTACCCCAACCCCTATCAACAACCCCTATCACTAACTCAACACCTGTCAGTAACCCAACCCTTACTGCTATCCCTAACCCAACCCATTCCACTACTCCTATCACTAACCCAACCCCTATCACTACCCCTATAACTACTCCAACCCCTATCACAACCCCTATCATTAAACCAAACCCTATCACTACGCCAACCCCTATCACAACACGTATCACTACTGCTATCCCTAACCCAACCCATTCCACTACTCCTATCACTAACCCAACCCCTATCACTACCCCTATCACTACTCCAACCCCTATAACTACCCCTATCACTTAACCAAACCCTATCACTACTCCAACCCCTATCACAACCCTTATCACTACTGCTATCACTAACCCAACCCCTATCAACAACCTCTATCACTACTACAACCCCTCTCACAACCCCTATCATTACCCCTATCACTAACCCAACCCCTATCAACAACCCCTATGAATACTCCAACCCCTATCACAACCCCTATCACTACCTAAACCCCTGTCACTACCCCAACCCCTATCACTACTCCAACCCCGATCACTACCCCTATCACGAACCCAACCCCTATCAACAACCTCTATCACTACTCCAACCCCTCTCACAACCCCTATCACTACCCCTATCACTACTCCAACCCGTATCACAATCACTACCCCTATCACTAACCCAACCCCTAACACTACTCCAACCCCTATCACAACCCTTATCACTACCCCTATAACTAACCCAACCCCTATCCCTACCCCTATCACTGACCCAACTCCTATCACTACTCCAACCCCTATCACAACCCCTATCACTAACCCAACCACTATCACTACCCTCTATCCCTAACCCAATCCAATTCACTACCCCTATTACTAACCCAAACCCTGTCACTACCCCAACCCCTGTCACAACCCCTATCACTACTCCAACCGCCATCACAACCCCTATCACTACCCCTATCACTAACCCAATCCCTATCAACAACCCCGATGACTACTCCAACCCCTATCACTAACCCAACCCCTATCACTACCCCAACCCCTATCACTACTCCAACCCCTATCTCAACCCCAATCACTAAACCAACCGCTATTACTACCCCTGTCACTACTCCAAACCCTTTCGCTATCCCTATCACTAACCCATCACCAACCCCTATCACTAACCCAACCCCTATCACTACCCCAACCCCTATCACTACTCCAACCCCTATATTAACCCCTATCACTAAACCAACCGCTATTACTACCCCTGTCACTACTCCAAACTCTTTCACTATCCCTATCACTAACCCGTCACCTACCCCTATCACTACCCAACCCTTAAAACTACCCCTCCTTAACCACTCCCTCCTGTCATCATAACTACACCACCACTAATAACAACCCCACTCTTTATTTAAACCAGTATCATCTTACGTACATTATTATGATTGTCGTAAAGCACCTTGTGTGCAGGTGCTGCTATATAAAGATAACATATTAAGATTAGTGACCAATGGAGCATTACACATTCTACAGCATTGTGAGCTGTAGTTTGCTTTAATGACGTTGTACAGTATATAAATATGTATTTACTATATTAACCACGTGTCTATGTAATGTGCTGGTTCCATTGTTTAGCTTCAGGTAGACAAAGTTCACCCTACAGCATCATCGACACGAACGAGTGCAAGTCTTTCCAGTTCAACAACAGCGGCATCACCAGTCGGATGATCTGCACCCAGTCCGAACATTGCGGGGTAAGCGTTGCGATGCATGGGCAGTCCTCGACTTGCGAACGGTCAATTGTTATAAAACATGTTATGGTTCAATAAAAAAAGTGGAAGCATTGTTAAACTCATAAATAAGAAGAAACATTTTACATGGAAATAACGTTTTTATTTTCACTTACCTTGAGTCGAACGGTACACTGTTGTTGTGCATCACGACGGATGCTGGGATTCATTACAGCTTGTGCAGGATCGCTCCGCTGAATAAAACAGTTCCGAGATTTTTTCATAAGTAAGACCGAATGTTCGCAAGTCGGGTGGCTAAAATTAATCACTTTTTTGGCGATTCTTTCATAAGTGCGGGATGTTCATCATAAGTCTTTAGGGTCTAGTTTCAACCAGTGTTAGACCAGAGAATGCCAAAAGGCGAACATGTTCACCACAAGTATGTGTGGTTAATGCAGACATGATCCCTTGCAAAAGGTTTCTGTTTGGTGTTTGAACATCTTAACACCTCTTGTTTTATTGCCAGAAAGGATAAACCCTATTTTTATACAATAGATCAACTAAGTTTCTAAGACAGTACAATAAACTGGTTATACAGTTACCTATCAGACCGTTCTCAAAAAGGTCCATAGTGATGACATCTCGTCCACAATTATTAAAATAGCAAAGGGTGTTCTGCAAGTTTTCAGCTAGGTTCAATTCTGTTCCTTATACTTAAAACAATATTGGATTAAACGTAAATCACTCAGACTTAAATATCTTTGCTGATGACACTCGCATGCTGGTCTGGGACAATTCTCCAAACGAAGTGAGACAATTTCTAACATCATTTCGACTTCATTCAATATCAAAATTGCTCCTAAATCTCCAAAAACCCGAAGATCATGATCTTTTCTTCAAATAATTTGCTTTCCTTCCCTTCACCTGTTATGGATATCAGAAAAAAACATCTTTGAGCAAACGTAGTGCTTCAAAATGCTTGTATTTACTGATTTATTCTAAATTAAACACAACAACACTTACTTGCGTGCAATTTATACTTATTCACTTGCTTCAAGTACACTAAAACCATGTTTTTGGTTGAGATATGCGGATGATATTTTGGTTGTCTGGCCACATAGTAAAGATACACTTAATTAAATTCTAAATCATCTAAATTCGCAAACCCAGCCATCCAGCTCACCATGGAAATGGAGGTGAATAAAACACTTCTATTCCTGGATATTTTGCTTGGATGCGACCTAAATGGTAAAAAAACCTCACAGCTTTTACCAAAAGGAAATGCACACTGATGCCTATCTGAATGCAGATTCGCATCATCACCCCGCACAGAAATCCTCTCTCATTAAGGCGCTCATACATCGGGCTAAAACAGTGTCAGATGGTGAAAGTCTGAGGAGAGAAATCAAACATGTTAAAGAAGCACTACGATTAAATGGCTACAATCAAGCATTGAATGCCAAATCAAGATCGAATAGCAATACTGCTGAAAGCGATCAGGTTATTACAACAATTAAAATACAATATATTGCGAGAGTAACTGACAAATTATCTAGAGTTTTGAAAAAACTAAAAATCAGAGTAAGATTTGGCACAGTACACAAAATAAAAAAAACTAGTATCTTGTGCTAAAGATGAATTTCCTAGGTTATCAACGGAAGGTGTGTATCGGATTAATTGTTTATGTGGCAGATGCTATATTGGACAGAAGGGACATAGCATTAGCGTAAGACTAAAAGAACACCAAAAAAATATTAAATACAGTACTCTCAAACACAACTATTGACAGTTGCAGAACATGCTTGCCAACAAGGACTCGCAATTGATTTTGATAACGTTGAAGTATTGTATAAAACTAATTATTACCACCCGAGACGAATTCGAGAATCCATTGAAAATGAAGGAATACAAATATTTGTAACCTCTCTCATAGCTACAGGCTTAGTGCGGCCTGGGAGCGTATTATTAAGTAATGCATCTTACAACTACATTCCTTATAGAGGAAAGACATGCTAATTAACTGATTACTAATCTATTATATAATTACAATAACACCCCCTCCGCCTTTGATATCTGCACCTGATGGGGTCACAGTGATGACGTCATCTTACTCTATTCAAGACCGGAAGCAGGTGGATTGCTTCACTATCATGGCAAATCTCCCGATAATGATGAATGCAATTACCAGCGAAACGTCGTATTCAAATTGTAAATGTTGTGGATTTACTCTCCAACACACCGGTTGGGCTGAAGCAGTAACTAATTGGCACGTTTTGTTTTAGTGACAAACCTTACTGGCTTTGTCGGGTGGTGGAGAGTTCCAACACATTTATACTTACGTGATCTAACCCCAAAACCTTTATTATGCATATTGGTCGCGAAAGACTACGTGTTAAACTGAGTATCCATCATCAGTCTTCTAAAACGAAATATCCCTCATATCTCAGTACATCTCAGTCTCGACAATATTGATCATTTCACTATAATATCCAACCTTGAACCTTGTCTCTAATCACACATCTCTATATACATCTCATCTCTGTTGTCTCGGTCTTTCTTTCATCTCACTGCATCTCCGTTGTTGGTAATATATTATTAAACAAAACATATAAACCGAGGTTTTCTATGTCTGCAGCCTGTTGTACTTCGTATCTTCGTCATTCTATTCTGAATTGTATTTTATATTGATCAAATAGTATACTCTACTTATAATTTCATGACATGCTTATATTCCTGCACAGTATAATATTTGTGTCAATTGTTGTTCGCATTGACTGATGAATGCATACTGATATGTCTTCCCACTCTCATTGGTCTAAATGTTCAGTAATTTATGTTTTTTTACATATTTCATCTGAACATCCAGCTACAACGTTTAACTCCAGGCATCTAACGATACAAGGAACATATGTGTTCCTGACAAGTCCGTTCGTCGGAATTCCAGATATCAAGCGCTATATTCCCATAGACTTCCATTATGTAATTGGAGATGCTTATCTGCGGAAAAAAAATTGGCCCTAGGCCCAAATAATTTAATAAAAACACACTTCAAAATGCAAAAAACATTGTTAAAGCATATATTTAATGGCACATCGAGAATTTTAGGACAAAATATTCATAATACTCAACAAGTCGTGGAAAATCAGTACAGAACGAAATGCATGCTTAGACATACTCCTTACGTGCCTTGCTCACTCCCCCCCCCCAAACCCCCACAATGTAGAATTTAACTTTTCAAAATTCCGTAAATGCGAATTTAACAGAACGTATATGGAATGTATTCTCTGACATATGTTAAGTGATCGCGAAATTGCACATATAGGACGAGGGACGACTCTGCGTATATATGTTAATGTTAACCCCTGCTTCTGTGTTTTAGGATATGTCACCCCAATACCTGATGTGTCAAGGTGTGGATGGCCTGTGGTACGTGGCTGGAATTGGCAATCGTCTGGCGCGGTGTGAGCCCAACGGAATAGATCTACGCGCCTTCGCAAGGGTTCGGAAATTCGTAGCCTTCATTAAAGAAACCTCTGGCCTAGAAGCCTATCATCAAGTATAACTACACAGAGCAACCACATCATGGGGTACGGAAGAGAATGTGGGGCAATTCATCAACGAATTTACCTTAAATTGGTCACCTAAATTTGAAGTTAATCAAGTCAGTAATTGCCGATTGAACATAACACTTAAAATGAATGGTATATTGATCAAAATCTAAATTCAATATTTTACAATCTTTAAAAAGAAATGTATATTGCATACTGCTCGGTTACATGTGGTGTGGACCAATTTTTTCCAGTGGCCATAAAACTAAAAAGTACAAACCATTAATTCAGATAATTTTATTTTAAATCGGTAACAGTTAAAAAAGTAACTGAGGTAATAATCTATTGCTCGCGTCAATGTGGCGTCATTTGGCGAGCCGTGTGTCACGTGTCCGATAAGTGGAGGTGCAGGGACACAGCGATAGCCCTCGGTTCGGGTGGTTCGTCTTTGTTCTGTAGACGGGCCACATGCAGCGCTTGCCACGGGGGTAAGGTAGCGCATTCCCGATCTCACACACATCTTGAATCAGCGTCACATCAGTCACGAAGCGGTGTTGTTTGTGATTACCTTCAAGATACGGGGACAACTCCTACCATCTGATAAAACAATTCACGTTTCGCACACTCGCTATTTTAATTCCCACCCTTGGTTATACTTTTGGCTGCTGGAGTTCAATGTGGAGCCCCAAGTCCCACTGCTGCCCTCAAACCAGACCCATCGCTTGTGAACTCACCAGGTGGGCATCACCTGCTACCTCCACAGTCCACCAGGTGGCGCCCCACACCACCATCTCACCACACCCCACTCCATGCCGGACACCGCGACAACTCAACAACACCCACAGTGCACAACATCCACCATTGCAGTCCACTGATGCTTCCACCCACAGCGAAAAGGTTCTCTTCCACAATTTAGGTGTTGCTTGGTGGCACCTTCTCCTTGCCGCAGGGTAGCGCCGAGGGCGTCCCTCTGCTCCATGCACTTGGTCCCAACCCACTCCTCTTCTGCCCTTGACCTGACCTTGCCCATACTCCCGCCTTGACTCTGCTCCTGACGTCCACTCTAACCCACACAGGAAGTCCCTACCACTGAAAATGACCCCCTGCCAGTTAGCCGAAACAGACTCTTGGGGCAAGTGCTGTTAACGAGCACTTATGAAGGCCGACACTGCACACGAAGGGGTGTGTGGCCAACACCGCCTTTGTCTCCCCAGTGGTGACGTTTACACATCGCACCAGGTAGTCACTTGAGGCTGAGTCGACCTAGGGGAGGCCCAGGATCGGTTCAGATATTTATCATTGGAGTTGGCTATGAGCAGGAATAGAACTCGGGGCATCGGGTTCGTAGTGCAGTGCGCTAAATCGCTACACTACAGCTCTCTACAGGTGGACAGCATATTCACCTGCACTACCACACTACATCGTGCAGTGTAGGATTTTACTCGGCGTAAATCTTGGCAGTCCTCAGTGGGCTGTTGAGTAGTCTCTGCTCGCCTTCAGTCTCCACTTCTGCTGTAACGACTGATGCTGCTGATGGAGCTCGCCTGCACTGCCTGGTAGTGGCCGGTTGTCACCGGGTGCCATTCCTTCTCTGGGCTCTGAGCTCTCCTCTCCATCCCTAGCCAATGGGAGCGCAGTTCCAGTGTAAGCCATCACGCCTGGCTGCCTACCGACTTGCTTTAGATTCGTCATGGGCACACGGTTCCAGACAATCGGCTGCTTTATTTGAAAAGCATGCAAAAATAATCGACCAATGGTGAACGTGCAATTAACCGCCTGCTTGTGAGACGACTCTCCCCACGCGTGCAAGGTCCACCAATCGCGAGCAAGGTGCTCAGACTGCTGCTCCATGAGTCATTGTCACCTGCTGTACTCGTGCGAGTTTCGCCGATCACCGCTCACCCACACCTCATACTACGCACGCATCTCTAATTAAGGGGGTTTTGTTTTACTTTACCACGAGACAATCACTGTTCGTGTATCGCAGCCATCTCACATCTCAGTGTCATCGTGGTCGATATTCCGCCCCCACTCTGAGCAGTTACCTCACCACGCAGCAGTGATCAACTACATGAAGTGCATTAGATCGGGTGGGATTTACATAATATGCAGGATACCGTTAAGGGGTTATGAATATACGTTTATTTGAGATGTTATAAGATATCATTGTTACATTGTCAATGAGCAGTAGTTCAAGACATCCGACAGAGTGAACAGACGCAGTCTGATAGAGCCGTAATACTACGTGATCACATTCACCAACTACGGTAATTCATCGCCTCACGTTACAGATGCGTTCATAAAAGCGATGAATGACTGTAAGCATTCACATTACACGTCCCACGTGATGCGCTAAGCAATTAAGGCTGTCTGTGTTAATATAGATGATTCACATAAATATTGAGATCTCAGTGTGCTGTTACGTACACGTGCATCCGTGCGTGTGCCCACGTGTTCAATGCAGCTATAAACAGCAGTACATTGCGAGTCTCGAGTACTGTAAATTACCAATTTGTTGCTATAACACATTCCCATTGTTTTGCTTGGAGATATAGCACTAAAGGGTTGTAGGTCTATTTCTCAACATGAAAGTTAAAAATGATTTTTTTGGTATAATGTGTAAGTCCCACGTATTGTTTTGTTACACGTAGATCCATAGTTTACATCATTCGCTAAATAAGGAGCCCCTCATATTGGATGAAAATGTAACAAAAACATGCTTAATTGCAACGTAGGGCCATTGAATGCATTTGAAATGGATTTATTTCAAGTTGTTTGAAACAACAATTAACATATTAAAAAGCAGTAGAGAGGCAAACGACAAAGGCAATGGAAATGCTCCACGCTTTGGCAGTAGGTTGTGTCACGGCAGATACGGAAGCGGAGGGGGAGATGAGCAGCGCACCAGGTTTGTGGTGAAATCGCTGCCTGATGAAGTCCAACGCAGTCTGAGTGAGAAAAAGAAAAGGCTCCAGCGTGGAGCTTTAGATCGGCCAGAACTTGAACACTACATTGGCACGCGTACGTTATATCTTCATCAACGTGATCATCTCGCAGGGTGGTGGAGGGTTATTGACAATAATTTTGACCAAAAAAACTGCAATGTGGTCTAACTCAAAATGAAACATTGTACGAATGCATCATACAAACGCATGATTTCTGAACCTTGTAACATTTAATCTTTAAAATATTAATTTACACTGTGATTCTGATATTTGATTATAATATGTGGGTATGATGGTGTTAATTGCTAAATGCAAATGCTATTCTTGTATGATTATATTGGGAATAAAGGATGTTCAAAACGTTTCAGCAAGCAGCCCCTTTAATGTCAGTCAGACATACACTTGGATGGCTGATCATGAACGTTCAAGTCACAGTGTCAGGGGCGAGCGATGAGCGAGAGCCGTGGTGTGGGAAGAGTAATGGAGATGGAGGTTTGTATTGAGGTGAAATAAAAAAAATTAAGAGTGTACACACACACATTGTATTGAGAGTGACGCGGCATCCTTTAATACAATAACAAGGAAGATATCTGGCAGAATTAGTTAAACAAATAGGGAGGGGGTGATCATTTCGTACCTAGGAACGCAACCCAATTTTACCCATGAGGTTTGAATGCTGTTTTGCCCAACGCGGCATTTTTCACAAATGTTGGGTGAGGTCTGCCTGGACATCTAATATTGTATTATCTTCTGCATTACTCTACTTGCATTGAGACTACAAGCTCTTTAAAGTTCTTCAATAGCAGTTCACTATATGCAAATCTTAATTAACTATTATAAATGCGTATCTATGATTCTGATAACGCAGTGTAATTATTATCATTATTTCGATGTCCAATCACCCTTACTTTAGAAATAGTTTGGCAGGAAATGAAATGTTTCAGAAAAAGTAAGCAGGCATCGTGGTACAGTCGTATCATGAAAGTGCCAGCAGTAAGTGGCATCTTATATAAACTTAATTGTTATTTTACCAGGTAAGGCCCACTGAGCTATTAAGCTCTTTATCAGAAGCGACCTGGTTACAGATGAGAGTTCAACCAAGTGGCTTATCATGTGGAAATGTATAGCAGGCAAATACTACTAACACATGTTTCTAAATGTGGAGGGAAAAACCAGAAAACCCAGAGAAAAATCCACGTGACCACGGGGACAGAGACATACCAACTCCAAATATACAGGCATCAGGGTCGGGATCGAAACCAGGACATCTTGTATACCAGGTGATGTTAACATCCCTCCACCGTGGAGACTTCATCCTAGTCACCCCTTTACCAATCCGTGCTAACCGGCATGGTGAAGTACGGTCAGACAACCTCCGTGATTGACGCTGTGTAGGAAGTCATTAATCCGTAAATTGTCAAAGGATTGTGAATGTTAATTATCAATAATTAATAAAATTAGCTAAAGATACATGTTATGGAGAGAAAACCACACACAGGCTTTAAGTAACTCCCAGTGCGAGTTGAATCATTGGTTTTAAAATTCGAGCTAAACGTGAGCGCAGCCTCCTTCACCATGAGGTCTGGAGGTCACACCCACGTGTGTTGAGTCGTCACAGTGGTCACGGCTCCGAGGCTCGCCAGGGCTCAGTAATTCGTGGAGAGCCCCTGAGGCCGGTACACGTTGGGGTCACCCCCGTTGCGTCCATGCCGGTTGGCTTCCTGGTCGGCAGCCGAATCCTTCCCGGGTCGCAGAGCCTCCCGGGCGTCACTGGACACAGAGGTGCAGCAGTGGTGGTGATGCAGTGACTCAGATCGAACAGGGAACAGACAAATACAAAGATCCACCGTATAGCCTCGTAACAGGCTGTGAGAGGTTGTTAGCGAGCACCTATTAAGGGCGGGATGATACACGAGGGGGTGGGCTGGCCAGCACCACGCAAGCCCGGCCGCCTTTGTGTCCCCAGTGGCGACGTTTACAAATCGCACCAGGTACTCTTTTGAAGCCGAGTTCACCCAGGGGAGGCCCAGGGCCGGTTCAGATAATCGTCACTGGTATTGTCCGTGAACACTTTTCAGGAAAGCATAAAACGAGAAATTACTCTCCTGGTTTCTCCCACCCCACTAGACAGCTAATTTTTGAGTTATAAAGAAAACTAATTTCTATAGAACTGCTTTTTGTGTTAAGTTTATTGTCCTTCCCCCGCACCTCCGATTAGCAAGGTTGGCTAAGTACGGATGAAAAAATTCAACATACATATATACAGATAGTTAGACTAATCCTATCGCAGGACCCTCCTCGTAATGAAGACTCTCACTCGGGATGCCGTGAGGCTCCATCTTGGTCGCATTACTCACCTAATCACGGCCGCAGCAAAACGCCCACCCGGCCCTCTTTGGGCCGCTTCGTAGTTCCCACGTGCATGGAAGTATTTGTCCGCTCCTTTGTGGTTGGCCTTCTTCATGTCCTGGTAGGCTCTCACCATATCTCTGGTACCTGTAGGAGGTAAAAGCACAGAGGAAAAAACAAAGCCAGTTGCTGGAGAATGGCCGATGGGGACTATGGGCTTCGCTACATCATTGATGCAAATGCAACAATCAGATCGTAACTCACACGACGACACTTGGATATATAGAATAATGCACATTGGTGACCGTGGGAAACAATCTCCATGTAGTACTGGCTCTGTATTGATTCAGCAAAGTTATGTGTGTGTGTATGTGTGTGTGTGTATGTGTGTGTACGTGTGTGTGTGTGTGTATGTGTGTGTATGTGTGTGTGTATATGTGTGTGTATGTGTGTGTGTATATATGTGTGTGTATATGTGTGTGTGTATATGTGTGTGTGTATATGTGTGTGTGTATATATGTGTGTGTGTATGTGTGTGTGTATATGTGTGTGTGTGTATGTTGGGAGCGGTAGTGTAGATGGTAGCGAGCTGCTCTAAGAACTCGGCGACCCGAAATAAATTTCTGCTCACGGCCAACACCAGTGACGATTATTTGATCCGGCGTTGGGCCTCCCTAAGGTCGACTCAGCTGCGAATGAAAACCTGGTGCGATGCGTAAACATCGCCACTAGGGAGACAAAGACCGTCGGGCGTAGTGCTGGCCACCCACACAATCGTGTACCGTGCTTATGTGCACTTTCCCCTCCAGTCGTGGAACTGTGCCTACCCACCCGTCTGAGGGTTAAAGCCGGTGGGTGAATGTGGCTAATTTCTCATCGCTTAGCAGTGGGCTGGCGGTGGTGATGATCGTTGATGAACAGCTCTGGACCGAGCGACAGCAACTGCAGCACGAGTAGACTTAAGATAATGGGTTACATTAGCGCCCAGCCGTGATTAACAATTGGTCTGTGTGCATGTACCGATCTGTACGCCCCAGGTATCTGTGTAGTGATTCTATCGGTCTCCCTTTGGATCTGTAGTTCAATGTTAGTCTATGGGTCTATATATGGTCAGTCTATGAGTCTACGTGTGGCGAGTCTTTGCTTCGGTGTGTGGTGACTCTATGGGTCTCTATGTAGTGAGTCTATGGGTCTTTCTGTGCCCAGGCATGCGCCTCCTACCTCCCGCAGCCTGTGAGAAAAAGTTCCCATTGGCAGTGACGATGGTCAGAGTGAGGAGGAGGAGCAGCACGGAGAGGATGGAGACCTTCAGCATGGTTGGTGCGATACACGATCTGCGGGCAGGGAGGGTGGAGACACACGAGGAGCAAAACATTGCGCGTCGCATTGACGCCCCGCTGACAACTGCAACGGTGGAGTAAAGGCCGACATCGTCGGTTTCATGCTCACCTTGCACGATGATGAAAGCAGAAAGTGAATCGCAGGAGCAGAACCAGCCCTGATGGCCAAACGATGGTCACAGTGAGCTTTATAGCTTTGCCCTCACCCAGTGGTGTTGGACTTTGGCAATGATCCCGCGTTGACCCTGCACCTTTCCGTAATGTCGATCAGCAAACATATTGATTGTTCGTAGTTCCCAGCAGTGCTCTTTATTTACCGAGTTCAATATTAACTCTGGGACTGTGTGGTGAGTCTGTGGGTTTTTGTGTGAGTCTATGGGTCTACTCTGCAGACACGGGTGATGCTTCTGCTGGCAGTCAAAAACAATCACTCAGTGCAGATTGACAATAGAATTGTCACAGAATGCTTCCATAAGAATAGTTATTATGGCAACAGAACAGGTGCTAAGATGTCGATACAGCAAAGAGATAACTTTTGCAAGGCATGAAATCTGCATTAACCAAACGTGCATGTCGCAAAACATGCAAACAAACACGCTCTGATAATAGAAGACATTGTCTTTGAAACTGATTGGCTTACACCAGAGACAGCCTTCTTTATGGCCTTGTCTTACCAGTGTCAGACAGAGAACGTCAAAAGTCGAATAGTACAAAAGCAATCCAAGTGTAATAAAAGGACTCAGACACTTCTTTCTGTCTTCGTGTCTTTTATTGGGTTCTTGTCTTCTCCCACACGGCACTCTGTTATAACTCTGTATTTGTAGCCCCCGGCTGTTCACTGCTATTATAGCTTCCTTTCCCTTCCCGCAGACTCTCTGCTTCGTCTACCGTAACCACCGTTCTCTCCCTGCAGACTCGCTGCTACCCCTATGCAGACTCCCGCTGCTACCCCTATGTGCAGACCCTCTGGCTGCTACCGTATGCAGACCCGCTGCCGACTCTGTATGCAGCCCCGCTGCTGACTCTCTGTGCAGCCCCGCTGCTGACTGCAGCCTCCTCGCTGCTTCGGGTCGGTCACCGCTGGCCAACGGTGCCGATCCTCGTTCCCCCGTGTTCGTGGCGATCTCGCCACCCTCCGCTTCGCCCTTCGTGGCCTCTCTCTGTTCCTGGTTCCCCGTCACTCCCTATCCTCTTCCGGTTCCCCTCCTTCTATAGCCTAACCCCTCACCCCCCCACGTGACCTAACTCCTCCCCTCCTGACGTCACCTCCGGAGGGCCGTTTACGCCCGCATTACATCACCCTCCCCCATAAAGAAAATCCAGCCGACCTCGGCTGAATTGCAACCTGACAAGAAATGCGGGTGTAAAGGGCCAACACGTAAAAAGACACGAAGCCTGCAACAACAATATAACCAGAACACAACACAATACAATTTCAACGAAACGTGAGGGATTTCGAGCGAGTACGGGTAGCCGGGCCGTCCCGAACGGTCGGCAGCCCACCCGCCGAGCGGGAACGTGGAAGGGTTTTAGGGGCGACGGGAGCGAGTTCGTCCGTCGCCATTGGAGGCCCGCCACTGTCCCGGTCGCGTCCAGAGACATCCCGTACTCGCGTCCGCGGAGGGATAGGAAGAGCTGCAGGTCCCGTGGGTTCTGCGGCACCGGTCGGCATCCCACGAGCGGAACGTCCTCCTCCCTGCGCTGTCACGGCCGGCTTGTCTGTGAAGGGTACGACAGGCGCTCTCGCAAGGTCAGCAGACACAGGCAAGGGCGAGTCGGCAGCAACAGACCCCGGCAAGGCAACTTCGGGAGATGACGCATCCGGCCGCAGGGCAATGTATGGCTTCAACCGGGATGTATGCACGAACCAGCGCCGCGAACCAACCTGAACACGCGCCGACTGTGGGTTGGGAACCTCAATGAGGCGGACCGGACCTTGCCACGGTTTGTGTAATTTAGGAGAGGTACCTGGCCGCACCTGTGGGCAATGAAGCCAGGCCAGGTCCCCCTTCTTCCAGGGGCACTCCCCCTTCGAACGTCGGGCACACCGCTCATTCCTGGCCTGAGCTTTGGCTGTAGCCATGCGGGCTCTTTCCCTCGCCTCAGTGACACGGCGAACGTTGTCCTGAATATTCTCAGGAAGAGGCTTAACAGGTCCCCTCGCACCGGTTCCCAACTGCTCATTAATCGGCGGCACATTCTCACGGCCGTACATAAGGAAGAACGGCGAGTATCCAGTAGCCGCGTGCGGCGTCATGCGATACGCCGAAAGCACCCCAGGGATATGCAAATCCCAATTAGATTGATTTTCCCCGACTGTATGGCACAGCATGGCGGACAGAGTCCGATTCAACCGTTCCACCATCCCATCCGTTTGTGGGTGGTAGGGGGACGTCCGTATCTTTTTAGTTCCCAGAGCCGCACACACCTCCCCCAACAATTTGGACGAAAAGTTACGGCCCTGATCTGTAAGGAGCCTCTCCGGCGCCCCCTTGTCCATTACATACCCAAATAGAAAGGCGTCAGTGATAGACGCCGCTGACTGGTCAGGCAAAGGCCAGGCCATCGGCCAGCGAGAGAGGTACTCCACCCCCACCAGTAAATACTTATTTCCCTTAGCGGATGGCGGAAAGGGTCCCAAGATATCTAACGCCACCAGCTCATTAACCCGAGATACTTGAATCGATTGTATCGGCGGAACATATGGATGTTTAGGCGGTTTACGGCGGGCACAATCGGGACACGCGCGAACGTGACCGACGACATCCGTCGTCATGCCATGCCAATAATAGTCTCGTTGCAGCGTCAATAGGGTTTTCTGCACCCCCAGATGTAAAAGTGTGTCACAGTGCAACGATCTAATCAACTCGTACCGCAATGACGCAGGCACAACGAGACGCCAGTGTTCCTGTATCCCTTCCCTCCACATCAGTAACCCATCTCGGAGAGCAGTTTCCGAAATACCACCCGCACCGAGTTCCTTACCCGCCTTCTCCGTTCGTTTTCGTAACGACACCAAAGAATCGTCCAACATTTGCTCCCGAATCCACACAGACCTCGGAAGACGCAAAATCCCGTCCGCCGGTCCCCCGTCAACCGGTCCCGGTGTAAGCGGAGTTTCGAGAACATCCACCGCCAGCGCGACAGGCTGAGGGGGGAGCTGAGTCGGTCCACACCTATGCGTCCCCGACGCACACGCACAAGGGGATTGTTGCGGCAACCTGGACAGTGCGTCCGCGTTAGCGTGACGCACACCCTTCCGATGGTGAATTTGGAAGGAAAACTCCTGCAACGTGTCCAGCCATCTCGCCAATTGTCCGGATGGCTGGTCCATCTTAAGAGCGTATTGCAAGGCCGCATGGTCCGTGCGGACAATAAACGACCGACCGTACAGATACGGTCGAAATTGGCGGAGAAAAAACACGATAGCCAAAAGTTCTCTGCGAGTGACGCAGTAACGGGTTTCCGCGGGAGACAAAACTCGACTCCCATACGCCACCACACGCTCAACACCACCTTTTGACTGGGACAACACCGCCCCAATACCAGTGTCACTCGCATCAGTATCCAGAATGAAGGGATGTTCAAAATCCGGATAATCCAACGTCGGTGCAGTAGCCAGTAAATCGCGCAGGCTCCGAAACGCCGCCTCCTCCGGCGGTCCCCACACAAATTTATGCCCCTTCCCAGTAAGGAGATGCAAAGGCCTGGCGATAGTAGCGAAATTCGGAACGAACCTCCGATAATATGAGGCGAACCCCAAAAACCGACGCACATCACCCACCGTGGTCGGGGTCGCCCAATCCCGGACACACGCAGTTTTCTCTGGATCCGTGGCCACCCCGTCCGCACTAACAATATGTCCCAAGTACCGAACGGAGCGTTGCAGTAGATGACATTTCTTAGGCTTGAATTTCAAATTAGCAGAACGCATTCTGGCAAATACAGCCTCCAACCGCAGTAAATGCTCATCAAATGTGCGGCTGAAGACAATAATATCATCTAAATAAATGAGACATGTCTCCCACTGCAACCCCGTCAATACCAACTCCATCAATCTCTGAAAGGTGGCAGGGGCTGCATTCAACCCCATCGGCAGACAATTAAATTGGAATAACCCCTGCGGCGTACGGAAAGCTGTTTTTTCTCGCGAGGGCTCGTCAAGGGGGAGCTGCCAGAAGCCCGAAGAGAGATCAAGCGTTGAAAAAAACTTAGCCCCTGACAAGGCGTCGAGAGAATCGTCCATACGCGGCAGGGGATACGCATCTGCCACCGACACTTTATTCAACTTCCGAAAATCCACACAAAATCGCAATTTACCATCCTTTTTTTTAACCAACACAACAGGCGCGCCCCACGGGCTATTAGACGGAGATATAATATCCGCTTTCAACATGTCTTCCACTGCCCCTCGAACATGCTCACGCTCAGCCGGACTCATCCGACGCGAGTTCAAGCGGATAGGGGCAGCGTCCCCCGTGTCGATATGATGAGAGAGCAGCGAGGTGCGTCCCAAGTCCAAATCGTCGGAGCTAAACACATCGGAATAGCTCGATAATAATTTATGAATTGCACAACACTGCTCGGCGGAAAGGGCCGAATTTTCCCCACATAATTCGGCGATCCAACGATCATCCACCCCTCCATCGTGTGAAACACCACCCACCAGCCCCCCGTCCGGCAGGTCACTCTGAGCCGTAAACGCCGTAGTGGCGTGTGCCACAACGGTACCAGCCGGCACACACACACTTTCAGTACTCGCATTTAACACCTGCAAAAACGGGCGCTGATCTGGACGGACAATAGTTTGCGCCCTCACCAGTGCCAGTCCGCCCGTAACAGCGGCGGACGGTGACAGCAAAATCCCAAAAGCACCCTGCCGACCCGGAACCGGCTTCCGGTATCGTAAGGGAATGAGCATCTGCGAGCCAGGTGGAATATCAACCGAAACTTCCGATAATGCCTGCACCTAGGCAACCGGAGCCGGTCGCCCCCAGGCGGACTGTAAGAACGCCAATTTCCGGCCCCCTGGTAGTTCAATGCAATTTTCATTGATTCTAATTAGAATGGGCATCTTAGCCAAAAAATCCGTACCCAACAGGCAAGGAACCGCCAGGGACCTTGAAATTAACACAACGCCCGAGGCCGAGACACCCCCGATAGAAATGTTAGCGTCCACCTGTCCCACAATGCCCATACTACCCCCGTTCGCAGC